GGAAAAGGACTCCTGCTCAGACCTACAGGAAGCAGAACCACAAGGGCAGCTGACTAGGCGTCTGGCTCTGGGATGCTGATTGTCCTCTGTTAACAAATTCTACCGTTCCCCCCCCCCCCTTTTCTGTTCCAACCAATTAATTAATCAGGAATTGCTACACTGACCGCTAATAATGAACCAGATGTTGTAAATATTCCTGGAAATTTATTCTGCTCTTTTTTGTGATATACAAATGACATGAGAAGAGACTGTCCATTTATTTGTATCCTTGTTATTCCCATGATCCTTATCTATAAAGCCCCATAAAGGTTATTTAAAAAATGGAAAGGAATAAGCCCAGGCCCCACCTGCGCTGCAGCTGCCAAGCAGGATCAGGCCACCTGGAGAGCCCTGGAAAAAACACACCAAGAACTCAGGCCGATGTAGTGGGAGTGGTCCCTACTCACAAATCAATAGTCAATTGTAACAAAAACTAATCCATTCAAAAATATGTATTCTGACAAGGATTACAAACTCAAACTCATAAGGATGTTACAGAAATTACAGCCCCCCCATCTTTAAAGTTGTTAAATGTTACAAATATTATGCCTGAATGTATCCTTTCAACTTGACAGCTCAGGGAAGTTACCTAGCTTTAACAATCATATACTGTAAAATCAACTCCTTTGCCAGTTTCCTCCATTCCAACGCTATTTTGCCCTTGTAAAATAGGGACTCCAGGAAGTGCCCAGAGGTGACAATTGCTGAGCTGATTGATGGCCAAGGAAAGCCTAACCCCATCACTAAACTTGCCAAGGGGTCCAGACATGCAAAGGAAGTTCTATTGTACTTTGGGTGGCGGGACTTCAGGTATCCTTATTAGCCTATGCTCATCTTATACCTGGGTCTTGCGCTGACATGTCTGCTTATGATATATGTACCAAGGACTCGTCTGGACATGTTTGCCAAAGTTAAACTAGTGTAACCCCTGTCTACCCCTCCCCTTTTGTGACATGTCAGTGATGTAAAGATGATGTGTTGATGATGCTGTGCGAACTGTATTCTGGGACATGGTGGGAAGTTTTAAAAGTCAGTGTTGCCCCATGCTCTGGGTTCACTCACTGCTGTTGAACCTGTTGTGCAACAATAAAGGATCCAAGTCTACTGACTGCTGTTTTGCTCCAAATTACTTGGCTGGAATTTCCTTCTTTTACTGACCACATGGACCCTGGGGGACTGGTACCCGGACGAGCTGGGCTGCTGAGTAGTCGCTCAACCCAGAATTTTCTTTAATGTACAACTTCCCTGGGGAGAGCATCCCACAGACACAAACCGGCAGTCATCCAGACGGGCAGGGTATTATTATTATTATTATTATTATTATTATTATTATTTTTATTTATTTATTTATTTATTTATTTATTTTGGAGTGCAAGCTTCCACATAAATCTCAAACATAAGAGTAACCCTTTGTTTGGGCTTCTTCTTCACTAGCCACTCACGTCAAACCCTTGTAGTGTGATAAGAATTTTAAGGTCTTAGATATATGTTAAATGTTCATAAATGTACCAACCAAGCACATACATAGATCAGCACAGGAAGACCGACCTGAAACCATTTTCGGCTCCCAAACTGACTAGATGTTTTCTCCGCAAGGTCAAAGGAAAATAGAAAACCTCCCCATTGTCTTTTCCTTCACAAATCCTGTCTTAAGGGCATGTTTAAGATATGAAGAGGGTGTGAGCCTGTGACCTGGCTCAGGAACTAAGTATTTATCATTACAAAAGACTGGCCAGGCTCCCCAGGGTATCCAATCAAGTAAGCATTAACACGTAACCTGCCAAACAGAAGATAAACAATGACAGGAGATAAACGCCGCACTCAGATTTCTGCTGTAGACCTCCATTCTGTGATGTATGTATGCTGTTTCTGGGGGTGGTCTTGGACTCCAGGGCGGGCAATTTAAAATGTCTATATAAGGGCAGGCACACCTTGGTTCTGGGTCTTCCTCCTCCTTTCCTGCGTGTGAGGGGAGGAGCCTGTTGCAACAGATCAATAAAGATCAGGCTTACTAGCTGCTTTGCTTCTCAATATTCTCTGGTTGGCCTCTGTTATTTTCTCCTACCAATAGGGAACCTACGTAAGGACTCTATATGGGCTCTTGGATACCTCATAAGGGAAAAAGGGCAGATTTTGTTTACAACAGTAGCAACAATAAAGACCAGGATTACTAGCTGCTTTTTGCTTCTACTGTATATGCTTGGCTGCAGACTTTGGTATTTCCTGACTGATCAGGAGCACACAGAATTGCGTCCCAGCGCAGTTGGGGAGAACTGTAGGTGGTGTACCCAAGGCTTACTTTGCCACAGTAAAGAGAAAGGGGAGCTGCTTCCCCGGCTTGATTTCTGCCTGGTTGTTCAGAGGCAGGCAGTTTCTTGCAGGCAAAGGGGTCTTAGGCTCCCCATAGGGTGGCTTTACTCCTCCCAAGTCCCCTTCTCCTCAGCCACGGAGTCCTAGAATGGTAGAACTGGTAGAAGGCTAGTCTCCCTTTGCGCTCTTCCTCAGGTGGAGGCACACTTTGTCTCATGGGGTTGATGGAGTGAAACCAGGGGCTGGATGTCCAAACTGGCTCAGTCGGGGTGCCTGGGGGCAGGTCCTGGGGTTGCCAGTTGGCTATTTGCAGATTAGTTGCATTGCAGAAGGCATGTTGGGGAGACCACACATTACAAGGAACACAAAAATAACTTTTGCTAGGTTTTAATAACAAAAACTCCTTTAATACTAAATTACAATATATCAATAACCATGACCCATCCACCAGGGTACTGAGAGAGCTGCTCTTTATATGCCACACCCAACAGCTTAATTACCACAACTTAACAGCGCCTGCTATACTGCTTCACAGCTGTAAAACTAGCTCACTTTATTTGCTCTGGCCTTTAAAGAAATACACATCTTGTGGAACAATAATGAACCTTCAGATTTAAAGAGACCATTCAACACTGCCCACTCACCCTTGCCCTTTCTGTGCTCCCTCTTCTGGGGCTAAGATGGGTGGCTTCATTGTGCAGAAGAGGAAAAGAGTGTGGAAGAGAGGGGAGAGGGCAGTAATTGCACACACACACCTCAGTAAATAAGAACTGCTGTATTACAAATCTAGGGGGTGGGTGGGGAGACCTGGCTTGCCAGTAGCAGTGGGTAGACCATAAGCTGAAGATGAGTCAACAGTCCAATGCAGCAGCAGAGAAAGTGAATGCTGTGTCCAGTTCTGGGCACTACAAGATGAATATTGACCAACTGGAACATGTCCAGAGTAGGGCCACCAAGATGCTCAAGGATCTGGTAACCAAGCATCTTGAGGAATGGTTGAGAGATCTGGGTATGGTTAGCCTGGAGAAGAGGAGACCGAGAACAGATATAAGAGCCATCTTTTGAAATATCTAAAGCAGGCATAGGCAAACTCGGCCCTCCAGATGTTTTGGGACTACAGCTCCCATGATCCCTAGCTAACAGGACCAGTGGTCAAGAATGATAGGAATTGTAGTCCCAAAACATCTGGAGGGCCGAGTTTGCCTATGCCTGATCTAAAGGGACGACCTGTAAAAGAATCAGTACATCTCCCAGTTGGAGAACTGGCCCCAAACTAAGAAAGTGAACTTCAATAGGGACAAAGGTCAGGTTCTGCACTTAGGCAGGAAGAACCAGATGCACAAATATCAGATGGGGAACATCTGGATTGCCAGTGGCATATGGGAAAAGGGTCAAGGGGTCCTAGCAGACTATTAGCTTAACATGAGTCAACACTAAATACAACAGCATGAAGCAAGGCTGTGTGGGGCAAGAAGCACAAAGAGGCCGTTGGTCCCTCTTAGCGGAACTCCCTGGAGGGGCTGGTTCCAGAGCAGAACACACAAGCCCCGCCCACCAGATCCCAAACATTCTACGGATCCAATTAGGCCTCAGTGATTTTGATACATTCAACACTTGGCCAGTGACTTCCACCTTGCAGAGCTGGATTCGTAGTATGAAGAAATATTGGGCACCAGGCTTGCACCCCATGGCTCTGAGAGGCGAGACTGACTTCTCTGCTGGGGCTACGAGGCACAAGAACACCGTTGCAATCCTCACCCAAATACTAAGTCTCTTAAAATTTAATTACTACATAACTGGTGTTTTTTTTTAAAAACAATTTTTATTAAATCTCCAAAAGTATTTCAGAACATAATTTTTTTACCCCATGAATTTTCTTCTTGACGCCCCACCTCCCTTTCCTGATGTTTGTTTTTTGCACCATTTTATTAGTTGTTTTACAGCATATAGGTTTTTACTTTCTAAACTCTAGGATTGTTAATTCTTTCACTTATCCATTAATATTTCAAATCCTGCTAACAACTTCATGTCTGGGTAATACTTTAATAGATAATCCATCAATGGTCTCCAATCCTCCTTGAAAACTTCATTATATCCTCTTAATTTGGCAGTTAATTTCACCATTTCAGCATAATCCCTCTGTTTCAGAATCCATTCCTCCTTTGTTGGTAATCCTCTTTACACCTCTGTGCATATAAAAGTTCTAGCTGCTGTTGGTGCTACATAAATAAATTGGTCAGCTTTCTCACGACCTCCGTCCCCATTGCTTCTAGCAGAAACACCTCAGGTTTTTAAGGAACTGTCAGATTAAACATCCTTTTCAGTTAATTATATATCATTCCCCCCAAACACTTTGCCTTTTCACAGGACCACCACATATTATAAAATGACCCTTCCTCCTGTTGACATTTCTGGCACGTACATTTTTATACATATTTGCTAGTTTATATGGTGTTATACATTATTTTCACATAGTTTTCTCTCAAGGTATAATATGCAGCAAATTTCAAATCTATCTTCCATAGTCTCTCCCAAGCAGTCATCACTACACAGCAATTGCTATGGCTTCTCCACACTGTGAGTTATTTGATGGGAAATTGGATGGGAGCTCTGACCGAAGCTCTTCCCAAAGCACTGATAGGGTTTCTTGCCTGTATGAATTCTTTGATGGCAAGTGAGGTTTTTCTTCACAGTGAAACTCTTTCCACATTCCACGCACTGATAGGGATTTTCACCTGTATGAATTCTTTGATGGCAAGTGAAACTGTCCTTCCACCTGAAGCTCTTTCCACATTCCAAACATTGATAGGGATTCTCCCCTGTATGAATTCTTTGATGGGAAGTGAGACTACTCTTCCACTTGAACCCCTTTCCACATTCTGAGCACTGATATGGTTTCTCCTCACGGTGAATACTTTTATGTCGATAGTAGTTTGGCCTTGTATTAAAGTTCTTTCCGCATTCCAAACACTGATACGGTTTCTCTCCTGTATGAATTCTTTGATGGGTCGTGAGATGGGCCCTCTGACTGAAGCTCTTTCCACACTCTAAGCACCGATATGGATTCTCCCCTGTGTGAATTATTTGATGGGAAGTGAGACTGACCTTCCATCTGAACCTCTTTCCACATTCCAAGCACTGATAGTCTTCATCCTCATAGTGAATTCTCTGATGTCGATGCAAACTTGTGCTTGTAGTGAATCTCTTCCCACAGTCCAAGCACTGATAGGGTTTCTCCCTTGTATGAATTCTTCGATGGGCCGTGAGACGCGAGTTCCGAGTGAAGCCCCTTCCACATTCTAGGCACTGATAGTGTTTCTTCCCAATGGGATTTATTTGAAGGGAAGTGGAAAGGGAGCTCTGGCTGAAGCTCTCGCCACACTCCATATATTGATACAGATTCTCCACTGTGTAGATTTTGTCACGGTCTCCCTCATCCTTCCTTTCCAATTCATCCCCTCCTACAATGAAAAGAGAAACTAATTAGAGCCTCAGGAAGAAATGGAGCCCCAAATTATCAAACAATGCTAATGAATGCTTGTGATAGGGGAAAAGACGGAGGGAATTAGATGTGAGGTTCTACTACAGGGTTCACTGCCTTTATTGACTGGAATTAGCTGACATATTTATGGGAACCTGAGATTTGAAAATCCTGACTCTTTCCTGGGATGTGTTTCATTTGGGCCAATCATGGAATCCACTCCATCTCCATCGTCAGTTGTCTCTTTGGTCAATAAAAAACAGACAGAAGCAAAAATGAAAGCATGAATCCTGACAGAAATTACTTCTCTTACCACTGCAAAGCCTACATTTAAAAATGCTGGGGCAGTTCAGACCAGCTTCATCATTGTTTTTTAAAAGGAATGGAGGAAGAATACTTGCAGACAAACCAGGAGATACCCCTCCATTCAAGGGGAGCTGTAGGGGTGTTAGAATCAGAGGTGCTGGAGGTCGCACTGTTGAGCACCATCATTTATTTATTTTAAGGCATTTTTACAAGTCATATGTGCATCATATCGTATTCATCATTATCTCTTATCCTCGGACTTTCCAGTCCATCTCTCCATGGCATTCTAGGGCGTCTTGTCAGGAAAACCCAGGACACATTATCAAAAGCCATGATATGCCCACTCCTCTGATCTCTTTCTCCCAGACCACTCCTTCTATCCTTTCCCCTCCTTTCACTTTTCAGAAACAAAACAAAACACCACCCTTAAATATAATTCTGGGCATCAAGAAATGGGAAGCAGGGAAAAAATAAACTAACCCCCGCCCAACAAAACTGATAAAAAGTTTCTTTCTTCCTTCTCCCTTCAGTCTTAAGCCATCTGCTTTTCTTATTTCCTCTGTCCTCCTCTCTCCATGCCTGTAGCCTGGTCTCCTTTGCATTCTATAGTCTTCTTTTGGCTTATTCTTTCCTTAGGAGAGTTTTAATGTTACCTGCCCCCTTGAAGGTTTGAATCAAGCCAAAGTCCACTCCAGTTCCACAATCCACATTTGTCCAATACAGTGGTGCCCCGCAAGACGAATGCCTCGCAAGACGAAAAACTTGCTAGACGAAAGGGATTTCCGTTTTTTGAGTCGTTCCGCAAGACGAATTTCCCTATGGGCTTGCTTCGCAAGATGAAACGTCTTGTGAGTTCTTGCGAGTTTGTTTTCTAAAGCCGCTAAGCCATTAATAGCCGCTAAGCCGTTAATAGCCGCTAAGCCGCTAATAGCCGTGCTTCGCAAGACGAAAAAACCGCAAGACGAAGAGACTCGCGGAACGGATTAATTTCGTCTTGCGAGGCACCACTGTAGTCCATTCAGGTCTTGCTGTATTTCAACACCCACACTATTTATTCAGTCTCTCTAAGACGTTTCCCCCATGCATTCACTCTTGTCTGTAGTCTGTTTTATACTCTAATTTTAGCCTCAGATTTCCTGAGTGGAAATCTTTGTTTTCTGGGGTGGTCTTTTTCAGAGAGAGAAAGGGGCTGCTTCACAGATGTTCCCCTTCTTTCCCCCTTAGCGCTATTTTCCACCAGCGAGACAGTCACTCACACAGCCACCGTCTTTTTATCCCCCCCCCCCGCTCCACTCTCGCCTTTCCAATCCTCTCTTCCACCTCTTATCCTTTCCATTTTCCAGTTGTTTGGGCTTTAGAAGTTCACCTCTCTCTTTCTCATCCCTCTGGCAACTTGATCCCCTTCCACTTCCCTCATACTCACAAGCAGGTCTGTTCTTCTCAACAGTAACCACAGTCAGTTTCCCCCCAGGCAGCATAGTGGCATTTTGAGATGGGCTTCCTTCTTCTTAAGTACTTTTGGGGGTCCTGTGGCTCTTCCTCCCAGACCCAGCTCTTGTTTCTGGGGTGCTAACACTCGGTTAGGTCCACATCAGGGGCTTTCTGCCCTGGAGGGAGCAGAGCTCCCCTTTGCCATCTTAACCCGCTCCCCGATCCTTCATGGAGCTTTCTCAGCCCCGTTCAAGATCCTCTGCACTGTGGGGTGTCCTTGGAGGCTCCAGATTCCTCTGGAGGTTTTTTTTTTGGGGGGGGGTCGCAGAGCCCTCACTTTCTCCCCTTCTCCTCCAAGACAGCCAGCTCTCGCTCAGTGAGTGCAACCAGCTCCATCAAAATATTGCAGATTTCCCCTATAAAATATATGTCTGGAATTTCAAAACAAATACAGTGGTACCTCAGTTTACAAACTTAATCCGTTCCGGAAGTCCATTCTTAAACCGAAACTATTCTTAAACCGAGGCAGGCTTTCCCTAATGAGGCCTCCCGCCGCCGGTGCCCTTCCACCGTTCGGAATCCGTTCTTAGACTGAGGTAAAGTTTGCAAACCCAGACACTACTTCTGGTTTTGCGGAGTTCTTAAACAGAATCGTTCGTAAACAGGACTGTTCTTAATCCGAGGTACCACTGTATTATGATCCAACAGGGAGCCTTACTGAGAGAGTTCTTGATCCCACAGTTCTCCTCCATGACTTCCTTATGCAGAGCTCTCTGGTCAGGATCCAGCAACGCCCACTCCTCGTCTGTGAAATGAACAGCAATATCTTCAAAGCACACTGGACCCTAAGAGAAAAAGGGAAATGTCCTCCTCTTAGACAGCGTAAATATTATCTACTACACATTGCTCTGGTATTTTGTGCCTATTAATGGCTGTCTTGCTTGGATGGGATTGTTTTGCTGCACATTTTAAGTATGAATGCTTATTTTGACATCTCTGTGGAAATGCCCCCCATGTATTTTAATGATGGATGTACGGAAGTGAGAGCTGGACCATCAAGAAGGCTGATCGCCGAAGAATGGATGCTTTAGAATTCTGGTGCTGGAGGAGACTCTGGAGAGTCCCATGGACTGCAAGAAGATCAAACCTCTCCATTCTGAAGGAAATCAGCCCTGAGTGCTCACTGGAAGGACAGATCGTGAAGATGAGGCTCCAAGACTTTGGCCACCTCATGAGAAGAGAAGACTCCCTGGAAAAGACCCTGATGTTGGGAAAGATGGAGGGCACAAGGAGAAGGGGACCACAGAGGACGAGATGGTGGGACAGTGTTCTCAAAGCTACCAGCATGAGCCTGACCAAACTGCGGGAGGCAGTGGAAGGCAGGAGGGCCTGGCGTGCTCTGGTCCAGGGGGTCATGAAGAGTCGGACATGACTAAACAACAACAATTTTAATGATTGGTATTAATCATTGTTTAAATGGGTGGAACTTCATGCTGTGTTCTTCAAGTCATTTTGTTAGCACAAACATTCCCATTTGCCAGATGAAAAGATCCTCTCTCCCATCTTGCTGTTATGTGGAAGGGTATCTTCCCAATGTCCTAAAGCTAACTTTAAGGAGTGTGTGGCAGCCGAGGCGTGGGAAGGAGAGCAGGGAGGCCCCGTTGTGCAACTCATGGAGCCAGGTAGGTGAATCCTGGCCACTCTTCATTGTCTGCCTACTGCTTAGAAGCCTGTTTTAGCATTCAGTGTTAAGCATATGAAGAAAATGGCAACAAATGGCAATCAATTATACTAATGACATTTCAGCCTTTGTTAAGGGCAGCTTTGACAGAAGCCAAGAGGAGGAAAAAGATTTGTTTGGGCTCAGAGGCACCTGGCTTTCCCACCCCTCGGCCTCTCCCCACAAGGCTCCTTCCTCTGACCTGATCTGGTTCCACAGCTGCTGCATCTGCTCCACCACCAAGAAAAGAGGGGTGAGGAGGTCTTGTCGGCATCATTCTGTCACCTGCAAAACACAAAGATAAGTGGGAAGACATTCCTGCATGCTTCTCTCGGAGTTCAGCTGTGCATCTCTAAGGCGGGCATTAGAAAAAGTCTTACGTGATGAGTACATTTGGACCCATTTCATATTTTATTTGTGTAAAAATACATCGCCCCTCCTCTTGGCCTCAACTGTCTCCACCCACCCCAAAGATGAAAACCCAAAGATCAGTTTCCATATTAATAGAATGAGACCAAAAAGAGAAAACCCTCCTTCCTCCTTACCCAGCAGCCTCTCTCTGGTGTCCAACGGAGTCCTCTCTGCCTCAGGCATTTCTGCTAACAGAAACTTTCCCTGAAGGAGCAACAAGGATTCAAAACAGGGAATGAAAATAAGGATGACAATAGGAATGGCAGAAGTAAACACTTCAGGGCTATCCGATCTCATTGCTTGCTTTCCAAAAACAGAAAGAATCAGTGGCGTAGCGTGGGGGGTGCAGGGGGGGCCGGCCACACCGGGCGCAACATCTGGGGTTAGGGTTAGGGGGTGCAAATCCACGGGTTAGGGGGCACAAATCCACGGGTTAGGGGTGCAAATTACTTGCCTTGTCCCGGGTTCTGACAACCCACGCTACGCCACTGGAAAGAATGAGCCATTAGGAAAGAATTTCAGTATTCAGTGGTACCTCGGGTAAAGAACGTATTTCGTTCTGGAGGTCTGTTCTTAACCTGAAACTGTTATTAACCCGAAGCACCACTTTAGCTAATGGGGCCTCCAGCAGCCGCCGTGCGATTTCTGTTCTCATCCTGAAGCAAAGTTCTTAACCCAAGGTACTATTTCTGGGTTAGCGGAGTCTGTAACCTAAAACGTATATAACCTGAAGCGTCTGTAACCCGAGGTACCACTGTACTGTCCCTCCTGTTCAGAGCCCCTTGACAGCATCCAGAGGCAAGTCTCTCTCACCTGCTGCTCTGCCTGCTTCCTCTCCTCTGCCTGACTCAGGAGGATCCTTCGGCCAGGGCCACCGCCTGGGAACTGGTCTCCGCTCCACATTCCCTCACCCAGATCTCCATCTCTGGCGGAAGCACAGCCAGGAACTGCTCCAAGATCACCAGGTCCAGCATCTCAGCTTTTCGTATGCTTTTCTGGCTTCAGCCACTGATAGTAAAGGTGGTAGAGTCGGCTGCAAACTTCTCGGGGTCCTTTGGCCTCCTGGTAGCAGAACTGCCTGAGCTGCTGGCTCTGAACAACTGAGCGGAGAGTGTCCTCCTCACCCAGGATCTTCTGCACAGAGTTTTCCCAGAATCCCCCACTGCTCCCAGTTTGGATGTCATGGCCTCTTCCCACTTCAGGGCCAGCTGAGTCTTGCTCATCCATCTGGGCTCTCAGGAATCCCCCAAGAGATCGGAAGGAGCCCCCTGGTCTTCTGCCCCGTTCTGTCTGTCCTAAGTAGAGGTGCTAGGAAGTCCTACAAAGCAAATGGATTGTTGTGATCAGCAGAAGACAGAGGTTCATTGAGCAAGATTAGATGAGTCTAGAATCAAGGGCTGGTCTGCACCACAGCCCAGACACTGAATTTCCTTTTATTTAAAAAAGGGAAGTCAGCCTCTAGCCCACGCAGAAGGACACTTCCCAAGCAAAATGTGAAGGCAACTGAAGGGATTTCTGTGATATGAATCAGCCTGGCTGCTCCTGCCTTTCAGTGCTTGCAGTCCAGGAATGAAGTCGAACCGTGATGGAGAAGTGAGGAACTTGTGTACTTGTACCAGGGTCTAGACACCTCCAGTGTCAGGGACATCAAGCGTCACCCAGTCCATTTCCCTTGCAGTGCAGGGAGCCAAGGTTCTCGACAGGGCTTCCTGTTCAATCTCAAAAGATCCTCTGAGCGTGTAGGGCCTGCAGGTCTGAATAGGTGCACATGTGCCAGCCAGGAGTCTGGATAAGACCCCTGTCCTATCTGGGGGGGGGGGGAGCATTGATGGTAAGGGAAGTGCAAAGGAAGGTTCGCTTGCATCTGCAGGAACTCAGCATCAGAAGAGAAGAGGAGCCCTGCAGGATCAGGCCAGCCCCCCCCCATATTGAGACTGGGCTCATCCATCTGAATGGGGTTTCCTGGCTCCCCCCCCCGACCCCAAGCCCCCTCTCCAAAGGGGCATGGCTAGAGTTGCAGACCTCCTTCCCTCCTCGCCCTCTCTCTGGCTTTGGGGGCAGTAGGACTCTCCGCTCCCTGACTTGGGGGTCCCCCTCTTCCTGAGCTGAGCAGGACCCCCCATGCATCCCTGCAGCCCCCTTCTCCCCACTGCACCCTCAGGGGGAAGAGAGACGAGACTCACCGGATCCCAGAGACAAAAGCCAGCCCCCTCCCCTCTCGCAGGAAGAGACTGGGGGCGGCGGGGGGGGGGGTTTCTGCTCTGGAGGACCTGCTCGCCTCGCCCCCCTTTCTCTCCAGGCCTCTCTAGGAATCCAGCTCAGTTTCTTTTAACCCTCAAAAAGCCGAGCGCAGCAAGTTCAGCCCCCCCTCGCCGTCTCTGAGAGAGAGGGAGAGAGGGAGGGAGAGAGAGGGAGGGAGGGAGAGAGAGGGAGGGAGGGAGGGAGGGAGGGAGAGAGAGAGAGAGAGAGAGAGAGAGAGAGAGAGAAAGAAAGAAAGAAAGAAAGAAAGAAAGAGGGAGAGAGAGGGAGAGAGAGAGAGAAAGAAAGAAAGAAAGAAAGAAAGAAAGAAGAAAGAAAGAAAGGAAGGAAGGAAGGAAGGAAGGAAGGAAGGAAAAGAGAGAGAGAGGGAGAGAGAGAGAGAGAAAGAAAAAGAAAGAAAGAAAGAAAGAGAGAGAGAGAGAGAGAGAGAGAGAGAGAGAGAAAGAAAGAAAGAAAGAAAGAAAGAAAGAAAGAAAGAAAGAAGAAAGAAAGAATCCCGCGCAGGTTGCCTCGCAAGAGCCGAATATGCGAAGCCGGAGCTGGCTCTCTCCAGAAGCGCAGCCCCATAATCATAATAATAATTTTTTATTCATACTTCTTCTTTGGCGATCCCTCGTGGCCCAGTAAGATTGTCTTCCACAAACACTGTTTTAACAATGAGTCTGTAAGTGACTGTAGAAGCCAATTGTGGATCCACACCTCCTTCCACAGTGGGGACATTGGTGGGAGTTGATCACAGTGTGGATTTGCCAAGTAGTGTGTCTTCCTCTTCGCACGTTTCTCCCTTGTGTCCTGAGTTCGAGTGTCTTCCAAGCCCAGGACACCTTTGGCAAAGGCTGTTCTCCAACTGGAGCGCTCGCAGGCCAGTGTTTCCCAATTGTTGGTGGTTTACACGACATTTTAAAGATTTGCCTTAAGTCTTTAAACCATTTTTGTTGACCACCAGCATTACGCTTTCCATTTTTAAGTTTGCAACCCCAGAGTCGGACACAACTGGACCTAATGATCAGGGGTCCCTTTACCCCTTTACACTGCTCTGAAGGACACAAGATTCTTATAAGTAAACCTTTTTATGCTCATTTGAAAGACTGGTCTGGCTATCGGTAAAAGGAGCAGAGGTAGCAAATCCCAAGTGCCCAGAATGGATACCTAATACAGGCTGTGCTGCCTTATACATCCTGTAAAAAGGTAAAGGGACCCCTGACCATTAGGTCCAGTTGTGACCAACTCTGGGGTTGCGGCGCTCATCTCGCTTTACTGGCCGAGGGAGCCGGCGTACAGCTTCCGGGTCATGTGGCCAGCATGACTAAGCCGCTTCTGGCGAACCAGAGCAGCGCACGGAAACGCTGTTTACCTTCCCACCGGAGTGGTACCTATTTATCTACTTGTGCTTTGATGTGCTTTCAAACTGCTAGGTTCGCAGGAGCTGGGACCGAGCAATGGAAGCTCAGCCCTTCATTTCCAGAGGTTGCTGCTCAAGACACCAGCTGATTAAATAACTACAAGCAGCAACCACTTTTTGCGCAAAACGAAGTCCAAGCTACGAAGATGCTGCTGCAGTTCTGTATCTTTTCTCTCGTGCTCCATCTGCAGCTCTCAGTTCCATCAGGCGGGGCAGGAGGAAGGAAATAGCGCCTGACGTAAACCTGCAGATCAGACCATCTATGCTAGTCTACCACTACAAATCTATGGGAGAAGCGCTTGCGGTCCTTCCCTTGTAGCCCTTGGAACACCTGCCCGCACCTCTGCTGCTGCCTCCTCTCTGAACTGCTTTCTCTATGGTTGCCCTCGCTCTCCTCTCAAGGCTCCTCAGCAATTCATAGGGCGCGCCAGGCTGCCCATCTTATCTGGGTCCTTTGGCGGCAGTACGGCCTAGCGGGAGCGGTGGCGGCAACGACAGGCAGAGGGGAGGCCCCAGGCAGAGCAGCTCAGTTCAGCAGCCACGAGGAGGATGGTGGCGGAAGGGCCCGAGGCTCCCGCCAGTCCTGGCGGGGAGGGGCTCCCGGGGGCCAAGGCTGGAGGGGGGCAGCCCGGGCAGCCAAGCAACACAGATGGAGCCTCCCTCCTCCATGGCCGGCAGGGAGGGAGGAAGAGGAGCTGCTTCCTTTGAAACCCAGGAAATTTAAGGGACACCATCAATCCAGGACAGCAGCGGGACACGGCGCTGGGATAAGGGAGTTTCCCGCCAAATAAGGGATGGTTGACAGCTATGCTGATAGATGGCATCCTCATCAGTGGGGCCAAATCGTGCTTGACCCTCCACCAGGCATGGCATGAAGAAGGTCATTGGCTAATGTAGTAGCATAGCAGTGTGGAGAAATGTTGGGTCCTGGGTGTGTACTCCATAGTCCTTTTTTATTTTTTTAAATAACTTTATTGATAACCATAAGAAAGCATACAGACAAATATAAACACACAAATCAGCAAACAAACCCATACTACATCCTATATTATTTTAATCTTTAATATTTCTTCTCCCTCCCCCTTCTCCCTACTTCCCTCACCTATATGCAATCTTGTTCTTATATTATTCTGCTCTTCTATTTAAGTTCCTTTAATAAACTAATTTTTCTTATTTTTATTCATTTACATTGCGATATAGTTACTATTTTTTACTAATAATATTTATTTGCTAATAATTAGCTTACCTTTCCAACCCTTTCCATATATGTTTCAACACATTCCCATTCTTTATTGACCTTCTGAGTGAAGCCTCCTCTCACTGACACTGTTAATTTTGCTATGCTCATGAATTCAGAAATTTTGGATCTCCATTCAGATAGCTCTGGTACTATTGTTTTCCAGTTTTTTGCAACCAATAATCTTGCTGCCGCTGTTCCATATAAGAATATATTCTTCTTGTTTTTAGGAATATCAGCTGTTAGTAGTCCCAATAAATATGCTTCTGATTTTTTATGAATTGTAATCTTAATTCCCCCTCCCCCCAATTCTTCATGAATCCTTATCCAAAACTGATTTATTAGCCTACACCCCCACATGTGAATTAGGGTTCCCACTTCTGCATTGCATCTCCAACATTTGTTTGAATAATTTTTATATATTTTGGCCAGTTTCACTGGTGTATCATACCATCGGTGGCACATTTTCATATTTTCTCTTATCAGGTAGCAAGCGGTAAAGTTTATATCTTGGGTCCATAATCTTTCCCAGTTTTCTAGGTATATTGTTTTGCCCAGGTCATGCGCCCATTTTATTGTTGATTCCTTTATGACTTCATCTTTTAGATCACACTCCCATAATAAATTGTACATTCTTGATATTATCTTTTTATCCGATTGTAATAATTCCTTTTGTAACTTTGAGATCCCCTGTTCAAAACCCTGTTTTTATCCTCTTTAAACAAATTTGCTATCTGATGATAATGGAGCCAACGACTGCAATGCTCTTTAATTTCTTCATATGCTCTTAATTTTAAAATACCTTGCTCTTTTGTTACTAACTCATGGTAGGTTGGCCAGACCTTTCCCATGTTCAATTTTTTAATTCCTATCACCTCTGATGGTGAAACCCACCAGGGTGTTTTCGGTTCAAGTAACCAACGATGACTTTCCCAAACTTTATATATGGGCCTTCTTATTACACAATTTAAGAAATCTTTATTATTTAACACTTTACCATATGCCAAATATAAGTGCCAACCAAATCGGTTGTTCCACCCTCAATATCTAAGATCTCCACATTCCTTAGCAAAATCCAATCTTTAACCCACCCGAAACTGGCCGCAAAATTAAATAAAGTTTCAAATTAGGTAATCCAAACTCCCCCCCCCTTTGGAATCTGTTAATATTTTATACTTTATCCTTGGCTTCTTTCCTTGCCAAACAAACTGTAATATCCTTCCTCCATCCTTCAAATATCTGGCAATTACTGGTTATTGGGAGCATTTGAAATAAAAATAACAATTTCAGGAATACAATCATTTTTATCGTAGAAATCCTGCCCCAAAGTGACAATTTTAATCTTTGCCAAATGTCCAATTGCTTTTTGATTCCTTTCCAAATTTTATTGTAATACTATTCAAATAATTCAATATTTTTCAATGTTATTTGAATTCCAAGATATTTTGCTTTTTTTACAATTTGAAGACCATTCCTCTCTTGTATTTATTTTTTCCTCTGTTCACCCAAATTTTTAACCATGACCGTAGTTTTTTCTTTGTTTACTTTGAGCCCCTCCACTCTCCCAAAATCTTCCATCCTTGCCATTAATTCTTGTATACTATCTACTGGTTCCTCTATCATTATCAGCATGTCATCAGCGAAGGCTCTAAGTTTATATGAGTTTCTTCCCAATTTTATTCTATCGCTCCCTCATTACCTCATTCAGAACCTCCAAGGTAAGTATAAAGAATGAAGAGGAGAGAGGGCATCCCTGCCTAGTCCCCTTTTGGATTGGAAAATATTCAGTCAACTCATTATTTATAATCTAATTTGCCGTCTGATTGTTATAAATTGCTTTTATTGCCCTTATTATTGGCATACCCATACTCCATGGTCCTTAAAGACACGGTCGACTTCTGTGCTGGGTCCCCAAAGGTCAAAAACACAGTTGCAATCCTCATCTACCTATTAAGTAAAGTCCCCTAAAATTTAGTTCTGTACACAGCCATGGTTACGGCTTCTCCTGATTGTGAGTTCACTGGTGGGCAGTGAGATTGCGGAATTCTTTCTGTATTTGAAGCACTGATAAGGTTTCCCCCCGTGTAAATTATTTCATGGGAAGTGAGAGAGGAGCTCTGACTGAAGCTCAGTACATATTCCAATCATTGTTAGTTTTTCCCACAATGACTTCTTTGATGGGTAATGAGAGTGGAGTTCTGACTGAAGCTCTTTCCACATTCCAAGCACTGATAGGGTTTCTCCCCAGTATGAATTCTTTGATGGGCAGTGAGACTGCCCTTCCGATTGAACCTCATCCCACATTCCAAGCACTGATAGGGTTTCTCCCCAGTATGGGTTCTTTGATGGGAAGTGAGACCGGACTTCTGACTGAAGCTCCTTCCACATTCCAAGCACTGATAGGATTTCTCCCCAGTATGAGTTTTTTGATGGCAAGTGAGAGTGAAGCTGTGACTGAAGCACTTTCCACATTCCAAGCACTGATAGGATTTCTCCCCAGTATGAGTTCTTCGATGTACCACGAGACTGTTCCTCTGACTGAAACACTTCCCACAGTCCTGGCAGTGATAGGGTTTCTCCCCAGTATGAAGTCTTCGATGTGCCACGAGACTGTTCCTCTGACTGAAACCCTTTCCACAGTCCCAGCACCGATAAGGTTTCTGCCCTGTATGAATTCTTTGATGGGCAATGAGAGTGCTTCTGTGACTATAGGTATTTCCGCATTCCAAGCACTGATAGGGTTTGCGCCCAGTGTGGATTCTTTGATGGTACATGAGTTGGGAGTCCTGACGGAATCTCCTTCCACATTCCAAACACCGATATAGTTTCTCCCCGGTTTCTCCCTTGTTTTTCGTTTCTAATTGATCACCACCTGCAACAAAGAGAAAACCAGATCAGAGCCTCAGGAGGAAATTTAGACCTCAATGCTTGAACAGTGCTAATGAGTGTGGATTGATGCCAGGATTTGTCCACGTCTGGAACCCGCTATGCACCCCGACTGGGCTAGGCAGGAAGACTGGAACACCTTCAGCATAATCCGGGAACCTGGACTCACAAATGTGCGTTATGAGCACCACCGTCAGAGGTGCAATAAACGCGGATGGGGCTGCAAGACTTTTGAAGCAGGTTCTTCTTGATTTCTACAAGCTACAGAATTATTTACAGAATATACAGACTGTGTGGTATAGCTTCTTACTCACACATCGACAGCAGAGATGAAATCACACTCCCTAAACACGAGGCTCAGAGTCAGGAAAAGGAAGATTAAAGACACAGTTCCCTCCCCCTTCTCTCTGACCACCAGATCATACGATTCTCCCAGAAGGGAGGGGTGAAATGCTAACAACGAGTGCTTTTCAAACGGGAAGAACTGAAGGGAGTTATCTGTGAGGTCTTACTAAAGGGTTCATTAGCTTTGTTGACTGGCATCAAGGATGATATTTATGAGATCCTGAATTAGAAAACCTGGCTCTTTTCTCAGATAAGATTATACTTGGCCCTATCATTGAATCCGCTTCATCTCCAAGATCAGTAGCCTCATTGGTCCACAAAAAATGGACAGATGCAACATCAAAAGAGCCTAGGAGAAACTACTGGAGAAACTAAGAAGTCTAAAGCCTACGGTTGGAAAAGCCTTGGCAGTTCAGACTAGGCTGACTTTCTTATGGACTGTTTTATTCTGGATTGCGGGACGCGGGTGGCGCTGTGGGTAAAACCTCAGTGCCTAGGACTTGCCAATCGTATGGTCAGCGGTTTGAATCCCCGCGGCGGGGTGAGCTCCCGTCATTCGGTCCCAGCTCCTGCCCACCTAGCAGTTCGAAAGCACCCCTAAGTGCAAGTAGATAAATAGGTACCGCTTTCTAGCGGGAAGGTAAACGGCGTTTCTGTGTGCTGCGCTGGTGCTGGCTCGCCAGAGCAGCTTCGTCACGCTGGCCATGTGACCTGGAAGTGTCTCCGGACAGCGCTGGCTCCCGGCCTCTTAAGTGAGATGGGCGCACAACCCTAGAGTCGGACACGACTGGCCCGTATGGGCAGGGGTACCTTTACCTTTACCTATTCTGGATTGTTTTATTTGACTTTTAACATAGTTTGTAAACTGCTTTGAGGTTTCTTTAATCTGAAATAAAAAGAATAATAACAATAGTAATAATAATACCTGGAGGAAGAATAGTTACAGGTAGGTAGCCGTGTTGGTCTGCCGTAGGCGAAACAAAATAAAAAACTCCTTCCAGTGGCACCTTAGGAAGGATTTTTCTTTTACCTGGGGAAAGAATAGTCACAGATGAAACAGTAGATAGCTCCCTATTCAAAATGTTCTGTACGGGTGTTAAGAGTCACAGATGTTGTAGGTGGCCCTGTTGAGCTCCATAAAAATATCAGAGGTTTGCCACCTAGAGATATACATATTACATTTCAGAACAGATACAGTGGAACCCCGTGTTACGTATGCGATCCGTTCCAGATCATGCTACGTAACACGGGTGTGTGTAACGCGAACACACGAAAACAAAAACAAAAAACCCAGAAGAAGTGTGATTTGGGCGCTTCTGCGCATGCGCAAAGTGTGCAGAAGTGTTCTGCGCATCTGGGTCACGCGCGCTCCGGAAACACTTCCGGGTGGTGGGCGTGCTTATCCCAAACGTACGCAACACGGAGCGTACGCAACACGAGGTATGACTGCATTATGATTCAACAGGGAGCTTTACCGTGAAAGTCCTGCTGGAAGATCGCCCGCCCAGGAGCATTGCCAGCATCCCAAAGCACTCTGGGGCGATTAGTCCGGTGGTCACTCTCTGGCTACCATCCAGGAATCCTCCTTTAGTCCAGAGAGACCGATAATTAGGCGACTGGTCTCTTATGAGAAAAGCACACCAATTTCTCCTGAGCAAACATCAGAAGAAAAGGCAGTTCGTAGACTTCATCTACTTTATTAAAACTGCATAGAAAATACACACATGACTGCACGTCCTGAGCAGTCCGGCTTAGAGTTCTCCAACTCAACACTGCTCCAGTCCAGGAGCAGAAGAAAGAAGTGTAACTCCGCCCCGGTTACACTGAGGACAGTCTGAGAACTGGCTCAGACTTCCTTTCCCCTGGTCAGCTACACCTGATGTAAACAACAACCTTTTAGCTTTTGCTGCTTCCTGGCAGCTCGTGCAGCTCGTAGGGACTGAAATCCCAACAAGTCCATCATCTCACGATTCTGCTCCATGACTTCCTTATGCAGAGCTTTCTGTTCAGGATCCAGCAACACCCACTCCTCATCTGTGAAAGGAACAATGATATCTTCAAAGCGCACTGAACCCTAAAAGAAAAAGGGAAATGTCCTCATATAGCGTAAAGATAATAATAATAATAATAATAATAATAATAATAATAATAATAATAATAATAATAATTTGTTATTTATACCCCGCCCATCTGGCTGGGCTTCCCCAGCCACTCTGGGCGGCTTCCAAAAGAATATTAAAATACTGTGATACATCAAACATTAAAAGCTTCCCTAAGCAGGGTTGATCGACTAGGACAGATGATCAACTAGACATTGATCTGGTGTTTTCTGCCTGTAATGGCTGTGTTGTTTTAAAGGAATTGATTTGCTGCACATTTTAGTTATGGATTGTTATTTTTATATTTTAAATGAATTCTTCTATTGTGTCTTTCAATGGTGAGTATTAATTTTGTTGTAAATGGGTGGAACTGAACATGGTGTTCCTCAAATAATTCTCTTGGCACAAGCGTTCCAATTTGCCGGGGGGGGGGAATCCCCTCTGTACTCTCTCTGTGTGCTGTTCTTCAGGGGGAAAATGGGAAGCAAAAGGAGACCTAGGAAAGCCCTGAAGGTGAATCCTGGCTACTGTTTTTATGGTTTCTCAACTGCTTAGAAGCCTATTATAGTATTCAACAATAAATAAAGAAAACGGTGACCGAGAAATAATGCAAGCAACAGCAAGGCTAGTTGAGGCAAGGCGGCTGTTCCTTATTTTCAGCACCCCGACCTTCTAGAAAGGCCTATTTGGTCTTTGTTCAGGGCAGCTTGGCCAGAAACAAAGTGGAGGAAGAGTGAGATTTGCTTGGGCCCAGAGGCACCCTGACTACCCCACCCATCAGCCTCTTTCCACAATATGCTCATTCCTGCTACCTGATCTGGTTCCACAGCGGCCGGTTCTCCTCCACCCCCATGAAAAGATGAATGAGGAGGTCTTGCCAACATCCTTCCGTCACCTGCAAGAGACAAAGGTAAGTGTGAAGCCAGGTGTGCATGCTTATCTCAGAGGTGAAGCAGTGCAGCTCTAACGACAGATGGGCCTTAGAAAAAGCCTCACTCGCAGAGTGCATTTGGACGTTTGTACCCGTTTCGTATTTTAGCATCTTCCCTTCCTTGGGGCTTTCCCCCAAGAAGATTCAAGGAACCCCTGGATGAGTTTCAGGATTCACAGAATGTGACCAAACAGAAAAACAACTCAATCCTCCATACCCTGTGGCCTCTCTTTGATGTCCAACGGAGTTCTCTCTGCCTCAGAGGAATACCGGCCCATTTCTGCAAACAGATCCTTTCCCTGAAATAAAAGAATCATAGAATGTTAGAGTTGGAAGAGATTCCAAGGGCCATCTTGTCCAACTCCCTGCAAAGCAGGAACTTCAACAAGGATTCCAAACAGAATGAGGAGAAGGGTTAGAAAAGGAATGGCAGAAGCAAACAATTTAGGGGTATCAGATCTCAATCCTTGAACGCTTTCCAAAAAAGAAGAGCCATTAGCTGAGAATTTGGGGGTCCTCTTCCCTCATGATGGAAGACCCTGGGAGTATCTAGAGGAAAGTCTCTCTCACCTGCTGCTCTGCCTGCTTCCTCTCCTCTGCCTGACTCAGGAGGAAACCTTCAGCCAGAGCCACCGCCTGGGAACTGGTCTCCGCTCCACATTCCCTCACCCAGCTCTCCATCTCTGGCGGAAGGACAGCCAGGAACTGCTCCAAGATCACCAGGTCCAGCATCTCGGATTTCGTACGCCGTTCTGGCTTCAGCCACTGACGGAAAAGGCAGTAGAGTCGGCTGCAAACCTCTCGGGGTCCTTCGGCCTCCTGGTAGCAGAACTGCCTGAGCTGCTGGCTCTGCACATCTGAGCGGAGAATGTCCTCCTCTCCCAGGATCTTCTTCACAGAGCTTTCCCAGAATCCCCCACTGCTCTCGGTTTTGATGACATGGCCTCTTCCTGCTTCAGGGCCAGCTGAGTCTTGCTCATCCATCTGGGCTTTCAGGAAGCCCCCAAGAGGTCAGAAGGAACCTGTAGTATTCTGCCAAGTCTTATCTGTCCAAATTAGAGGTGCTAGAAAATACTACAAAACAAATACATTGCTGTAAGATTGACACACTGTCAGAAGAAAAATGTTCCTTGGGCAGGTGTGGATGAGTCTTGGTTTAATTCTTATTAATACTGAATTTTAATCTGCCTTGGGTAATCAGTGTAGTAGTAGTTGGATTCTGCACCGAAAAGGTTGGACCAGACTAAGGTTACCAGATTTTTTTGATGAATCCAGGGACACTTTTCAACTTCCTACTAGATAGATGGATTTTGTCAGAGGATTGACAAAATCTGGGGACTGTCCCTGGGAAATGGGGACGTCTGGTAACCTTAGACTAGACAGCCCTTGGCATCCCTTCCAACTCTACAATTCTACGATTGTATAATTCTAATAATATTAATAATAATAACAACAGCAATAACATAAAGCATCAAGTGTGGGGAAAATAAAGCCCTTGAGATTTTGGCGTAGGTAAGCACAAGCACCCCATCGGCATTTTGGTTCACCTGGTTGATCTAAATTTACCGGTAAATGTCAAATTGAAGGATTAACAATGGAGTGCCCCGGGGGGGGGGGGGGGAGTCAATTTGCTTTGTGAGCAGCACCAAAGTGACTGCAGAAGGTGCTGGAAGGAGGCGTACAAAGTGTCACCCAACCACCTTAGGGAATCCACTATGGGTTTGTGGAAGGTTTACTCCTCAATCTTTTCTTCTCCTGAAGGGGTTCAGGATCAGAGTTTTCCTTCTCCTAGCTGGGTTCCCTTTCTGGGTCGAGGAGCCCCATCTGCCCCCCACTTGACCTTTGGACCCCTTCTCGGTCTTGTCCATCTTTGCATCACTGTAGACTTGAGACCCATCAGCTCCCCCATCGTTCAGCCCGGACACTGAGGTCCAGCGCCGAGGGCCTTCTGGCAGTTCCCTCATTGTGAGAAGTGAGGTTACAGGGAACCAGGCAGAGGGCCTTCTTGGTAGTGACGCCCACCCTGTGGCGCCCTCCCTTCGGATGTGAAGGAAATAAGCAGCTATTCTATCTTTAAAAGACATCTGAAGGCAGCCCTGTTTAAAGGTAAAGGGACCCCTGACCATTAGGTCCAGTCGTGGCTGACTCTGGGGTTGTGGCGCTCATCTCACTTTATTGGCCGAGGGAGCTGGCGTACAGCTTCTGGGTCATGTGGCCAGCAGGACTAAGCCGCTTCTGACAAACCAGAGGAGCGCACAGAAACGCCGTTTACCTTCCCACCAGAGCGGTACCCATTTATCTACTTGCACTTTGAGGTGCTTTCGAACTGCTAGGTGGGCAGGAGCAGGGACCGAGCAATGGGAGCTCACCCCGTTGCGGGGATTCGAATTGTCGACCTTCTGATCGGCAAGTCCTAGGCTCTGTGGTTTAACCCCCAGCGCCACGCGCCACCCGCGTCCCTTTACAATCCCCTGATTCCATGAGTCTGTGACCTGCTCACAAACAGGGAATGATCGCAGCAAAGAGCAGATCCTAACAGACACACTCTTTCCTGTCTTGTGTGGATTATGGAGTATGGGGCTGAGGATCCCCACCCCCCACTATGCCCCCCACAGGGAAGTTTTTGATATTTGATGCTGTACTGTTTTTAACACTCGATTGGGAGCCGCCCAGAGTGGCTGGGGAAACAGCCAGATGGGCGGGGTATGAATAATAATTAATAAATTAATTATTATTAACATTATTATTATTTAGCCCCCCAGCCAAAGCCTTTCCTGCAATTGCAGCTGCTGCAGTCGGCTGACAGCTCCGAGGAGCCGCAGGAAGGAGCAGAGGGCCGGGTGGGGACCCAGGGTGGCCCCCAGGACGCATCCCCACCCGAGGGGTAGGTCCCCCCCCGCCCCCTGGGACTCTTAATCCCCCCCACTTTGCCCTATTGCAGAAGAGACTAACCAGCTTCCCGAAGGCGCCGTCGAGAGAGAGAGACAGAGACCCGGTTCCTTCCCTCTCAGTGCAGGAAGTGATTGGCAGGAAGGGCTTTTGCACGCCCCGCCCTTCCGTTGCGTTATTTCCGGTCCTCCAGGCGGTGGGGGATGCGGCGGTGCGCGTCAAAACACCAAAGGCGCCATTTTGGAAGAGGGCGGAAGGGAGGGCTCCGTCATGCTGGAGAAGGCAGTGATAGGGCAGGTATCAAAGGCGCCATCTTAGGAGAGGCACTGAGGCTAGAATGTGACGCAAGAAGCGGGCGGAGGAGGCACCACCGCCATCTTGGACAAGGGCAAGCAGAGGACTGGGAGGAAATCTCCTCAGGAATGGAGGTCGAGTCCCCATTAAGCCTAGACTTCAGGTAGACTGCCTCTTCAGGGCCTGGTACAGACTTCCTCAAGCTTGGCCCTCCAGGTGTTTGTGGCCTACAACTCCCATGATCCCTAGCTAGCAGGACCAGTGGTCAGGGATGATGGGAATTGTAGTCTCAAAAAACACTGAGGAAGCCTAGCCTAGCAGGTGTTTATGAAACCTGTGGTTTCTCAGGGAGAGGGCTGGGTTTGCTCGGCTTGCTAAGGGTTAAAAGGCACTGAGCTGCATTCCTAGAGAGGAGAGGAAATCGGAAGGGGAGGGAGAGTCCTGCAGAGCCAAAGCTCCCCCTGCTGGGCGGGGGAGGGGCCGCGATCCTCTCCTTCACAATACAGTCCTACCTTGGAAGTCGGAATCCCTTATGGAACTGCATCTGTTTTGATATTCAGTACATATTTCTGTGTGACAAACCTCGAATATTTTACGTGCAGGTGGGTAGCCGTGTTGGTCTGCCGTAGTTGAAACAAAAAAATCAAAGATCAAAAATCTTTCCAGTAGCACTTTAGAGACCAACTAAGTTAGTTATTGGTATGACATTTATTATATTTATAATTTTTATGTATTTATTTATTTATTTTGTTTTGTTTCGACTCCCAATATTTTGATGCTGCTCAATAGCACCACCTACAACATCAAACCTAGACAGCATCTTAGAAAGCAGAGACATCACCTTGCCGACAAAGGTCCGTATAGTTAAAGCTATGGTTTTCCAGTAGTGATGTATGGAAGTGAGAGCTGGACCATCAAGAAGGCTGATTGCTGAAGAATTGATGCTTTTGAATTCTGGTGCTGGAGGAGACTCTTGAGAGTCCCATGGACTGCAAGAAGATCAAACCTCTCCATTCTGAAGGAAATCAGCCCTGAGTGCTCACTGGAAGGACAGATCCTGAAGCTGAGGCTCCAAGACTTGGGCCACCTCATGAGAAGAGAAGACTCCCTGGAAAAGGCCCTGATGCTGGGAAAGATGGAGGGCACAAGGAGAAAGGGACGACAGAGGACGAGATGGTGGGACAGTGTTCTCGAAGAGACCAGCATGAGTTTGACCAAACGTTTCCTTCCCAACATTTGATTTAATGTTGTTGATATCTTTGCATCTAGCAACTGTGGGCAGGGAGGAATCTGGAGGGAGCCTGTGGAGCAGCAACCCTTTCCTTGGTTCCCATCGGCTCCTCTGCTGAGTCCGACCCTCACCCCCTGAGCGTGGCTAATACCTCGGTGGGTCAAGCTGCCTTTCTGGCAAGTGCACTGCTGTTTACTGAAGCTCTTACTGAGGAAGCTTTTAAAGGAACTCCGCAGTTTGGAAAGGATCAGCCAAACCCTTCACCTTTGCAGCTTAAAGGAACTGGGTGGTGGTGGTGAAGGAGGAGGAGGAGGAGAAAGGGATCCCAGAATCAGGGCAATGAAACTCTGAAAATTCAGGTGAATGTGCTTTTTACAAGCTCTGTAAACATACTGCATTTTTTTTTTTGCTGGAAATCTGCATTCACAATTCACACAAGTGTATATACTGAAGGTTAGCAGGTGTTGGTTTGCACATTTTCAAAAACTGTGTATGAGGAAGGTGTGAACTGAATTGAATTCATCCTTGATTAATCTTGTTAGCAAACTGCAGACTGTTCCTTGCCCTGCCTTGCCGATAAGCTGGAGAAAAGAGCTGCTGCTGAAAGCGCCCCATCTTTGAAAAGGGGGTCTACAGAGCCATACGTTTCACAGGGAGATGGAGAAATACCTTTAGACCAGGGGTGTAAACAAATCAAAACAGTCCTTATTTATGAAAATGAACTCACCCTGGGGAGGGGGCAGGGAAAGGATTGGACAAATAACTCTCCCACCTTCGCTTCCATTTTGTAGCATGGGAATGTGGGGGATTCCACAATATCATTTGGAGGGCAGGCCCCAAAGGATGTAAAGTCATTGGGGATTCAGAAACACACTTCTTCCAGCAGCCGAGCTTATCTAAGTGAGACCTCAACAAACCAAGCTTAACTATATTTAGCTTCTCAGTCTGTATTGCGTGTGAAATAGGGATAATTTTGTGGCAGAACATACAGGGCTTTCCCATCTCGCCCTGTCCTCAGATTCTTCTTAAAGGAGGAAGAGCACTCTACTTATGCTCAGAGGAACACTGCCCTTAATTTTTCTTTTTAATATAGAAAAAAAGCATAAGCAAAGTGAGCATTTAATATGAAAAACACCCATTCAGCAAGTGCACTGCGAAATTCACAGTATTCTAGCACTGGTAAAATTGTACTTGCAAGAGATTCATGGCTGGATCAGGGCACCAGAAAGTGAAAAACGATAGGATGTTTTGATTCCCATGTTTCTGAAGTGGTGTTTGTTCCCAAAAGCAGCCTATCTGCACCAAGACAGCAGTCCTAATCCCAGGTGCACAGCAGTAACTCCCACTCAATTCAGTGAGGCTTACTCCCAAGTAAGTGGCATTAGCATTTCAGTCTTAATCGGCTTCTTAAGGCGAATTTTGAAAAGCAATGAAATGCACTGCTCATTTCTGCTCTTTTGACATGGAAAGAAGCTGTCTCCTTTTTTGCTTTGCATTGAATTTTTTATTTTTTATTTTTATTTTTTTAATAGATATTTATTAAGAATTTTCCATTTTGATACATTAAAAAACCAAAAAGAAAAAAAAGAAAACATATACAATTTACAAATCCTTATTTTTCTATAACATATTTCCCTGACTTCCCCACACCTTTTTAAAGGCTTTGGAACATGCATTGAATTTTTATTATATTTCCACAGTAAGCATTATAAGCATAAACAAGAAAACATTGTTCAATACACAGGTGTGTTGCATATTTAAATACATTCAGGAATTATTTCATAGCACATGTCAATTTCCATCCACCTGAAAGAAATTTAGAAGTGATGGCTTTTGTTAATTCTGTGGAATTTTTACCTGTCTTCTCAAGTTAAAGTCTGAGCATCTTTGCTGAAGGGGGGGGGGGAGAACCACCTGGATTTGGCTGCCTGTTTTTCAGCACCCCAAAACTTAATCAAAAAGTAAAATTAAATTTAAATTTTCTTTCCTTCCCCAGCACTAAAGTTTTCTTCACTTTCAGCTAAACTGTCCCTCCCTTGTGTCCGAGTGAGGGAAATGAGATAGAATGACAAACTTAAACTGAACTGTGAAATTAAGGTAGGGAGAATGGCTGAAATCCTAACCCGAATTAGTGGGAACGACTTGTCGAATTCAGTGGAACTTAAAGCCCTTAATTTTGAAAGGCACCATGCAAGCAAGGTAGTTGAATTGTAAATACACGTTGATCAACTGAGTGTCTATTGCGTGCTATGAAAAAAATATATGAAACTATATGCATTTCCACATTAGTAGATGACAAAACGGAATACTGATTTGTGCAAAATAAACCAATTGCAGTGGCTGAAAGTACAAGTGGAAATCAGGGCAGACGGAGGCATTTCAGCACATCCCTACCGAGAGTGAAAATGTTCTGGTGTTTAATTCTCACTAGAGAATCACTGGATCATTCCCACTAGATGCATTACAGTATGTTGCATATTGAGCCAGACTCTTCTTCTTTCTTTCTTCTGTTTTCTTCATTAATTTCCCTTTCCACTTCCTTTCGTATTTTCCTCTTCATCTTCTCAATCTCTTCTTGGTCCACCTCTAGCATGTCTTCCGTGTAGCAGGGGGCTGCCTTGTTCCTTTCGACCAGGTGGTCGATCATCCCAAGCAGTTCGGTCACCTGCTCCTCCCTTTCTTGCCCTTTCGCCTTGTTGTTGAAAGCCAGGCATCTCCCTCCACACTGAGCGATCTGGTTCTGCAGATCCTGGTCTCCCTCCGCCAAGAATGCTTTCAAAGGCCTACCTTCCAGGTCTTCCTTGCGGGTGAACAAGATGATCATGTAGTCCTTGGCTTTGCAGCTGAAGATCTTCTGGATCAACTGAGCAACGGCTTTCTCCTCCTTGCTGAAACGAGTCAGTTGCATGACTTGTATGATGACATGGGCTCCTGGGTAGATGTGCTTCACGCAGGTCTTGATTTCCTTGGAGGTCACATCTTCTGGAACATTTATGTCAAAAAAGCCAGGCGTATCAACCACCACAATTCTCCTACCACCAATGACCGTGTCCTCTTTCTGGCATTTTGCTGTCACTGAGGAAGGGGACGAGAAGGATGAAAACCTTTTGTCCCCCAGGATGGTGTTTCCTGTTGCGCTTTTCCCAGCTCCAGTTTTGCCCACCAGGGCAATCCTCAGTTCTGCAAGAAAGAGGCAGGAGATGGTGAGCAACTCTTCTGCATTGTCACAGAGGCCAGAGAGGAAACTGAGGGGAACATGGGCACCACCCCTCCCCCGCCCATCTCCATCACCCAGGAGCTGTGGGGAGGGAGAAACAGATTGGTCAAGTTCTCCTTCCCTCAGGTTCTCATTTCTCCAGACTTAAGTTCAGTTCTCCATTTTTTGGCATGACAATCTGTACACATTTAAGTGCATTTAACCCAATACATGTGTACTTATTCCCACTATAAACATTTCTGCAAGCAATTTCCCCCAATATAATTCATTTCTCCACAGATATACGCAAATTTGTGTGCATTTTCCCCTGTTCTATGCTTTTTCATATATATTTTGGTTGAACTGCATCTTTTAGCTCATGTAATAATTGGCTACCTTTCACCCCAGGGTCCCAGGGTGAGTTACAACAATTAAAACACAAAGTTAAAAACAGGCTAAAAGTGCAGAAATAAGACGGGTGCCAAAGTTAGACACCTCAAGCTTCAAAAGAGGTGCACCTTCAGCATTTGCCAGAAGCTGCACAATGAAGGCTCCAGGTGCTCCTCTCTGGGGAGGAAGTTCCACATCTATGGGGCCACCACAGAGAAGGTCCTTTTGTAGGTGGTAGAACAACCAAGAGGACTCCTTTCCCCAAGAGGGTCTGCAGGGAAAGAGGGGGGTCTTTCAGGTATTGGAGACACGAATCATTTTGGTCTTTAAACACCAACGTGAGCACCTTGAATATGGTCTGGAAACAAACCATGAATCAAGCTAATCTCTCTCCCATGGTTACACTGATTCCATCCAACACCGTCCAGGAATCTGGGAGAATGAGATCAAATCAGCTCGGTCTTACCTGTGCTTTTCCCAGCCATATTCAGACAAGCAGAAAAATTCACAAGCCAATATTCAGGATTTCTAGATCAGAAGCAAAAGGAAACAGAATCAGCCAATGGGGAGCTTTCTGTATTAGGCAGAAATGTGTGCTGCTCCCCCCAAAAACTTGCCTCACAAAATTCTTTTTACACTTTACAGAGGGATCTTCCTAAGTGTCCGCTGTCCCAAATATTTGGTCATCATGTGTGTGTTTCACTTTTTGTGTTCCATGCCTCCTCACTGGCTCATGTTCAGAATAAGACCCACAACTCCCAAATTCTCACTGACTAAAACGTCACACCTTTGTACCAAATGAAAAGCATCTCTGCTTCTTCCAAAAAACACTTTAGCTCAACCTTTGGTGAGGCTCCAGAGGATGAGAGTCATGGACTTGTGGAGCAGCCATGATGGCCCCCTCAGACTCACAGGTGGCATCTGGAGGGAGTTCGGAGGATCTGCTGCCTTCATATTTGATATGTTTCTCCATAGGATGCATTTCTCTGGGGAGCCATGGGGCCACCATTTCCCTCCAGTATGTGCTGAAAGGAAAGGATGTCTTGGGGAGAAATGGCAGGTCCCGCAAAACAGGAATGGCCCTCACTGACGGTTGCCCCAGAATGGAGACAGGTCAATTGGGGCAAGAGGGACACTGCCCCCCCCAGCCCGCACTTGCTCCTTCTTCCTTCCTTCCTTCCTTCCTTCCTTCCTTCCTTCCTTCCTTCCTTCCTTCTGCTCTAGGGTGCAGCTGTGAACATCCTCCTCCTCCTCAGCCTCAGAGTTGCCTTGGTAGACGTCAGTAGGGAGGAGGATGGGCACCACAACAGAGAGAGTTGCCTCCACCCATCAGTGGTTCTGGCTCCGCCCATTCTTGGGCTCCCTGCCTCCCACCCTTCCCCCAGTCCGAATGGCCACCCCTGGGACTGGGACTTTCTTTGCCTCAGATCCCAAGATGGAGCTGGCTTTGGCTCACTGTCCAAAGCTCTGGATGTCTTCTTCCCCACTGAGGGAAATGGGAAAATGCCTATCACCTTCCAATTCCTTGGCTGAACTGGGAAGGGCAGAAAAGACCATTCTCAAGGGAAGAAGCCTTGCATGTTTCAGGCAAACAAGGGCAGGAGTTATTGCTCAAAGAGCCTTGGCAGTCTGAGGAAACTCCCTCCCCTGCCGTGGTCTTAATAGTGCGGAAAATATAGTGTGACTCTGCTTATGTAACAGAGAGGGTCTGCCAGAGGGCACTGCTGAGCAGCCTTAAGACTGGGGCTGGAAGACAATATCCCATTCCTCCGCCTCATGAGCTCACTGAATTCATGCACGGGGACGGGGCTGAGCTCTCTGAGCATCATCTACATCAGGGGTCTGCAACCTGTAAGACAAAAAGAGCCACTTGGACCCGTTTCCGAAGGGGGAAAAAAAACTGGGAGCCGCAAAACCACTGCGACATTTAAAACAAATATATCTCCGGAGCCGCGATCTGACAGCGGGCGGGAAGGTGACGTCGGGACGATGCGTGACTAACGCATGCACCGCCCCCATGCGACGTCACAGCCAGTACAGCGCCCGCCACAGTGGGGAGTGTCGGGGCGCACAATGCGCCTCCTCCTCTCGCTAGTATCCGCCCCGGAGCCGCGACAAAGGTGTAAAAGAGCCACATGCGGCTCCGGAGCCGCGGGTTGCAGACCCCTGCTCTACATCATAACTTCCAGAGTTGCAACTATGCCAAGGATTTAGTGGTAAACATAGTTTTCTCCATCTGGTGTAAGCTGAAGAGAGCACAGATACACACAGTCCTAAGTATTATTGTGGACTGCTCACTTTCCCTTGTTTTTTGTCTGAACAGTTAACATACAGAAGAGCCCTGTGTGAGTTTAAAGCTTGCATCTTGCAATTTGCATAAGGCCTGGTCCAGAGAAATATATTCTTCCTCATTCTGTCCTTGGGAATACTATTCATCTCCCTACCACCCCATGCCCAGGGGACAGGGGCAAGTCTACATTTCTTAGTTATTGTCTGCGTCCCACCTCCAAAATGCTGCTTCTCTTGGACCATATAATAAGGCAGAGACTGAAACAAGTTGAGGGCTTCTCATCTCGAGGTAACTGAGAAAGTTCAGGAGATTAAAGTGACCCCTTTGGATGCAAGCCACAGCCCAGGCTGGGCAGTTCAGAGAAATTCTAGTATACTAATCTGCAGAACCAAAGAAGGTGGTCAAGATTTCCACATGAGCAGCACAAGAATGCAGGGGAGGCCGGGATCAAAAATTCCAAGAGGAAGGAGAGAGACATGGAGCCATCGCAAGATACAATTAATGTTTTGTCCATGTGGAAAGTAGCAAACAGAGTGAAGGAGAAGGAATGCAGATCTCTGCCTCTGTTTACACTAAGTGGGATAGAAACATCTTTTGTTTTTGGAGAAAGAAGAAGAGGATGAGATTCTCCAAAAGTCAGTTTTCACCTCAAGGGCTGTTTCTCCATTCACCTTCTCAGCATCCCTGTATCGGACACATCTCTCCCTTTGGACCTCCTTACAGTTCTTTATGGTGCCTCTGGTCAAAGGCCTGCATCAGTCACCATAATCCTGCCACCCACATGGTTGCCTTGCTCAGTCCGATAATATTATAAGAGAAGAATCTGAGGTGCATCTCTCAGTGTGCCTCCTGCTTGATAAGAAACCCTAAAAATTCTACTGCAAAATTAATGCTGGTGTCAGAGTACAGGGGTATTTCCCAAGACTGAGGGGTGCGGGTGTCAAGGATATTTTGTTCCCCCACAAACAAACCCTATGCACACTTTCCTGGCGTAAACGCCATGGAACTTAATGGAGCTTTCCCCACCAAAGTAAAAATCCTCACTATTACTCCTGAAGCTGCACTAGTAAAATACTAAAATATTAAAAAGATCTGGGGCTCTTGCTCCAGTTAGAATTACAGCATTTTAAGTGTAGAGCAGACAGCTATTGGAGGAGGGGATTTAGCCTTTTTTTATTTTTAGCCCTGGTGAATCCTCCAGGGGGTGCCATTGAAGCTCCCAGTCTGTGTACCCAAATGCCTGGGGGGGGGGATTGCCAAACTGGGTTTTTGACCAGGGTGAAAAAAAGGCTTCTTTTTTTAATTATTTGTTGAAAGCTGCCCAGAGTGGCTGGGGTATAAATAATAAATTATTATTATCATCAGTTTGCCCCTCCCCAACAGACTGTTGAAGCCATTGAGTTCAACCATTGAAGAAATTCATTGTGGGAATTGGCAGACTTCACCCCTTAGAAAAGTATGACCATGTCTAAAGCTATGGTTTTCCCAGTAGTGATGTATGGAAGTGAGAGCTGGACCATCAAGAAGGCTAATCGCTGAAGAATTGATGCTTTTGAATTATGGTGCTGGAGGAGACTCTTGAAAGTCCTATGGACTGCAAGAAGATCAAACGTATCCATTCTTAAGGAAATCAGCCCTGAGTGCTCACTGGAAGGACAGATCGTGAAGCTGAGGCTCCAATACTTTGGCCACCTCATGAGAAGAGAAGACTCCCTGGAAAAGACCCTGATGTTGAGAAAGATGGAGGGCACAAGGAGCGACAGAGGACGAGGGGACTTCCGGGTTAGCGCCAGCGATTAATGGCGGATTCCCTCCGAGCTCCAGAGGGAATCGGCTCTGCAGGATCGGGTCTTGCTGCTGCGGCGAAGTGGGGACCCTTAAAAATCACAGTCAGGGAAGCCTGTGAACATGGTGACTCGGCGGGCACCATTTGCGCCCCCCCAATCTGCGAAGGAGCCTTTTTAAAGGCTTCGGAACCGGGACGGGGTGCGGCGCGGTGCTGAGAGTACTGCTTTCTCTGTGGAGTGAAGCCGCAAGCCATTGTCGGAGAGCGCTGACTTCTTCTTTTGAACAATCGGACTCTAAAGTAACAACCTGTGAGTAACATGGAAATCTGGGCTCTAAAGGAAAAAATTGTTTGAATTAGGAACGAGCGGGGAAGGGTTAAAAAGGAAGTCCGCCCCCCCTCTTTGTAAACAATATAAAGCAAAGGACCTGCTAGCTAAGGTCGAGAGAATTTCTCTTTTCTTTTTCGCAAAAGACTTTAATTTCATGGTTTGATATTACAAGAATTCTTACTGTAGGATTAAAGACTGATTTTGAGAGCTGAAGTTCTACCCCCCCCCCGGGCCTGGGATTGCCCCGTGAGAGAGCCTGTTGATGAAGTATTGAAGAGCTTGACAGCTGTCAAATTAGCTGTCAAGACGGATAAAGAGAACTCTGTTTTTGTTTCTTCTGCTGGTTATATTTGCTACAATTTGTTGAAAACAAGGAAGGGCTGATACAAAATAACTTGATTTTTGGACTCGAGCTGAAAAGAATATCAAGGAACTAAAATCCCCCTAGAGGGATTTAGTGACATTACAGGAATGGCTGGAGGAGGGAAAATCCAGGCTGAATTGGACAGAGTATTTGTTCTCTTGGGAAAGTTACAAGGCCAATTTGATGTTTTGGCTACAAATGTTACAACTCTGGACTTAACAGTAAATAACATTCTTGAATCTGATAAGGATTTGAAACAAGAAGCCTATTCAACTGGACAAATAGAGAAATCTGAGAGTTTTGAGAATATGGAGAAGGAGACATATGTCACCCCTGAAGAAAAGGAAGAAGGAGCTGAAATTTTGCAGATGTTAAAGGAGAGTTGTACCTTGAGGCCTGACACGATGGCAAGAAAGGAAAATAAAAATCTGATGTGTGGGGGAAAATGGTTGTTTGTACATAAAAGCATGAACAAAAGCATTTTGTTATTGCAGAGTGATTTTGCAGCACAAGACATTGCTTGAAGCATGATGAGCGCGTGAACACCTCATGTTAGACTAATGATTGGCCCACATAGCATAACCTGATTTATTACAGGGTCTGGTGTGATGACCTTATGCCCATATATGGCACTCTCTTTGTCTGCGGGCGGAGGCAAAAGTTGCATTCTTGTGTTGGTTACTTTTTGAGTACGAGACAGAACAAGCGTTGGGCTGGAGGCAGAGAGGATGATTTATTTTTACTGCACACAATAAACATTGCGCTGCTGCAGTCAGACCTTTTTTCAAGTCATCTTGGTGTGAGACTGATTTTCTTATTGATGCCGAGCAGGTTCTCGACAGATGTGGAAAGCCCGGCCTGAATTGGAGATTGAGAAATGGAGAGATCTTCTTATGTGGAGATCAGAAGACCTAAGGATTACAAATGTGATTAAGGTGGAAGTTAGAGCTTTGGGGATTTTTGGACTTGAAAGGAGCAAGAAACAAGAATTGGAATACCCCATAGACTCTACTCTTAAGTATGGAGGCCTAGCTGGAGGAATCATGGATCCTGTTGGGCCGGAGCTTCTCCAAGATTTGGTGTTTAATATTAAGGACTAACAAAAAGACCGGCAGAGAGGAACTGAGAGACAATTAAGAGCCTCGGACGTGAGATCTCCAGGCTGATAGTAGATTAAGACTGATGGACACTTGTGGGGGCTGAAACCGGGAAAGGGGGGGTGGAGCTTGGGAATCCAAAGGGTTTATAATTACAATTTATTTTGTTTTTATTTTGCTTGTTACTGGTATGTAAATTGGGAAATTCGTAGAAGGGAATCTTGGTCGATCTTAGAAAAAATGTTTTAAGAATAAGAATCGATGTATAAGTTCGATGTTTAAGTTTGGATAAGGTAAAATTGGACTTTTAAAATGAACTAAATTAAATGAAAACAAGGTTAGCAGCTGTAATGACTAAGTTAAAAGAAAAGAAAGGTTAAAAACTAAATGAAATTAAGGGAGAGGACTTGCTGAATTAATAATTTGAAATTGGAATACAGAAAGGGGAGGTATGAGGAGGTCAGGGAAGTAAGTTATAAGAAAATAAGGGATTGAAATTATACTTGTTTTTGTCTGTGTTCTGTATTATTGTGTTATAATTTTTGAAATTTTAATAAATATCTTTTTAAAAAAAAGGAGCGACAGAGGACGAGATGGTTGGACAGTGTTCTCGAAGCTACCAGCATGAGTTTGACCAAACTGCGGGAGGCAGTGGAAGACAGGAGGGCCTGGTGTGCTCTGGTCCAGGGGGTCACAAAGAGGCGGACACGACTAAACTACTAAACAACAACAACATATCTGCAGATTGCAGCCATTTCTGGCAGAAAAGAAAACTGCTCCGCAGTTCTTTACAAATGCCCTTTGAAAGGTTCCCTGTGCGAAAACATAATTTTCTGGGCCACCTCCCTTTTGGTTCTATAAACCCATCTCCAGGACCCCCTAAACTACTGTATAAAAAAGTATTATTCCAAATAACATTTTGCAAAACCCACTAAGCTAGGTAGTAACACAAAAACATTTTGCACGTCAGCAACCATTGCACAATCATTCAAAACTATTTCGTTTAATTCACTCAACCATGCTGGTGAACTTGATTCAGTGATACCAGCTTTTCAAAGCCATTTGACCTCCAGCCCCCCTGCCCCCCATGGCAACCCCACTGCCCCCAACCCCCAAGCACGGGGTGGTACCTCCCAGTTTGGGGGCCTGTGCCTGCAGGTTGGCAGGCGTAACTCTGTGTGCAGAGGCTCCTTCGCCTAAAAGTTTCATAAGACGGAAAGGGGAAAGAATGTTACAGCCACTTCGAGAGTCACAATTGTAGGGAGTGGGAGGAGGGGGCGGAAACAAAGCTGCGTTTTCCACATATCTAACAAGAGTCCCAACTTAAAAGGCGAACAGGAAAGACACGGAGCATCTCCAAAACAGACTGATCTGCTTCCCAAACCTGCAGACTCGGACCTTCAACTCTTGCAGCTGCTGCTCGCGCCTCCCCAACACCAAGCTGTGGGTCTCTGAGGGAAGTGTGGGGTTCCTCTGCCTCTCGGGTGCTTCTGCAAGCCCCACAGAAGACTCAATGGGGCGAGCAGAGTCGTCTCCGCTTTTGGTGAGCGAGAAACAAGTCAGAGAAACCTCCCTGACCTCTCAGAAAGGGCTCTGGGCTGCTAGCCAGAAATATTTGGTGGCACTGCAGGGTGAGAGGGGGGCTGGATTCGCCCCTCCCCGTTTTATTCCTCTCTGAACCGAGTCCCTGGTCCACACGAGAGAGAGAGAGAGAGAGAGAGAGAGAGAGAGAGAGAGAGAGAGAGAGAGAGAGAGAGAACAACGCCCATCAAGCGCAGCGCAGACAACGCGGAGAAGAAGGTGCGCTTCTCTTTCTGCGTTTGGGAACCCCAGGCGTCGCCTTGCGCAGAGTGGGGCCCTCGCTCCGTCTCGCGCAATGTCGCCTGCACTGACTGGCAGGCGCTTCCCAGGCCCAAGTCTCTCCCCCAGCCCCACCTGGAGAGGCCGGGGGTCAAACCTCGGACCTTCTGCATGCAGGGCAGCTGAGCTGATTCTCCTTCCTGGCGAAAGAGTTCCCTCCCTCGCTCTGAGTTTGAGTGCGGATGGGCTGGAGAGAACAGAGGAGGAAAGGGGGAGATTTCACTTTGACCGGCGAGCCGAGGTCTTGATCCCTGAATTATTTTCCCAGCCCCGCCCTTTCCCGACTCCCAGTGATTTGGGAAGAGATGCCAACGAAGGATTGATTTTTCAGAGAGACCCTTTCTCTTTCCTCTGCCTCTCCTTTCTCTATCAAATTCAATGGAGAGATTTCTTTCTTGCAGGGAGAAGCTGTGTGCCGAAAAATTCCTGGTGTGGGGCAGAAAAAGTCATTTCCATTCCTCCCCCCTACTGACTTTTTCTTTTTCTTTTTGTACCCCCCCCCCACGACAGCTCTAATTTTGGGATTTGTCAGTCTCCATGTCTGCAAATTTCAGGCAATTCTGGCGGAGGGGAGGGGGAAAGGACATGTTCTTTTAAAAATAAACTTTAAAACTCCTAGAAGGATGTTCCTGCAGATTGTCAGGCTCCTTTAACTGCCAATTTAATCAAAGGGAAAAGATTCATGCTTATACACGCAAGCCAAAGTTTTGCTTCCGAGAGCTCTGACTCAGCCTCTAGCAACAGGTCAAACAAAGCAGACCTTGAGCATCTCTGAGGCAGGTTGAGAGACAGAAGACTTAAAGTCAGACCTTGTGGCTGCTGCTTCCTGTTCCCAAATACCAACCTGTGGTCCGTCTGAGGTGTGGGTCTCCCTCTGTGTGGGTCTCCCTCCGTGTGGGTCTCCTCCTCCTGCTGCTGCTGCTCTTGGGTGCTTCTCCAGAACTGCAGAAGACCAAATGCAGCTCCTCTGAAATTTTCCACCTATAGGGAAGTTTTGTCCTCTCCTGTAGCCAATAGAAACAGAAATGCAATTCTGGGAAGCTGTTTTGGCTTCTCAGAACATGATCTGGCTGCTAGCCAAGAAATGCTTTTGGGGTGGGTGGGTGGAGCTCATGCTTGCCATCTCCATTTTATTCAGCTTAGAACAGAGTCGGCCATCGACAGAGAGGGAGAGAAGAAACTGCAGAGCAGAGGGACCATCAAACACGAGAGTCTTCTTCAAGCTCCAGAGGCGTCACAAAGAAGGTGCCGTTGGCTTTCTTGTCTTAGGAACATCCGAAGCTCCCTTTGCAAGGAGGCGTCACCTTTGTCCTTCTGGCTCAGCAATGGTTATCTGCCCCCCTGGAGATGCCAACGGTTGAACCTGAGACCATCTCTATGCAAACCAGGTTCTCAACTGCTGAGCTGTGCCCCCTGCCCCAAACCACATGGAGAAAAAAGGAAGCTGTTTTGTACTGAGCCAGACTGACTGGTCCATTTAGATTAGTATTGTCAACACTGGCAGACAGTGGCTTCTCCAGGGCTTCTGAGTTGGGAGGTTCGGGGGGGGCTGGATTGGCGACATTCAGCAGCAGCAGAAGGAAGGAAGCAAGTGGGAGAGAGTCTGCTGGGTGAAGGGGGGGCGGAGAGGCACTGGAAGTGGTTGGCATCAGCCCCCTCCCCACTGAAAAGCAGCTGCCTTTAAGAGATGGTCATCTCTGGAGGGTATTTTCATCAGGACTAGGCCCCAAGGAGCTACAGACACCCGTGGCTGCAGCTGTTCAGGGCCCTCCCCAAACCAGCCCACCTGCCTGGGAGCTGCAGAAGGGAGGGTATCAGGCCAGGCTGCCAGGGACCCCCTAAGGCAGAAGCAGGTAAGGGGGGGGAGAGATGCAGCTCTGGCTGAAGGAAGGGAATATCCATGTGCTTTTTTCAACCATTTGAACACTGGTGAGGGCGAAGCAAGTATGCATGCAGTTGTAGAGGGTGGGAAGATTCCTGCAAGAGATTGTGAAGGACAAAGTATTAGGCATGTATATTTATTAATGCTTATGCACTTGTTGGTTGTAAAAAAACCCCACACGCCCTCAAAGCCGTTTCCAAAAAGATAGAACAATGAAATTATCAAGAGGAAAAATTAGCAAACCTAATTTAGGACCAATGCATGTAAAAAAAGTCACCAGCTGCCTCCCTAGTAATTGAATCCCAAATCTGCAGGGGCAGAATATGGTGCTTTGAGGTTCTTTCAGGGTTGTGTTTACATCATAAGCTTCCTCTGGTGATGGAGAGGAGTTTGGGCAAAGCAGGAGCTAAAGAACTTCATTTTCTGGTTCTCTTCCAGCTCAGGAATCTGCCTGGACAATGGATGAATGGAGAGCGGAAGTTAGAGGTAAGTCTCTCCCTTCTCCTGACCCTCCTCTGAAAGAACCATGTGATGGGAATGGGGAAGGTTGGACCATTCGTGGGCCACAGTTGGAAGGGTGAGGTGACCCCAGGTGCTTAGGGGAATTGTTGCAGTGTATGGACCCTGCATGGTGGCAATTCAGGGGTGAATTCCCAGGCAAGAGGCAGGTCCACAAATCTGGAAATGAGCAGCCCACTCTCCCTTAAGGAACAAGACTTAGTGGTGCTGCAGGAACAGTTGTTGACTTGGGTCTCCAAGGTGTGAGTGTGGCCAGGTCAATATATTGTTTTCATTCCTGGCTGACATGCCAGCTTAGGGTCTTTCTTGAGAATAAGAACCTGTGTGGTGTTTCTACGAGGTAATCTCTCAGTTGGGTTACTGCAACGTGCCATGAAACTGACATCCCTTTAAAACTGTTCAGTCTTGGCGTGGGACTCGGCAGGCACCTTTAGCACCCCCCCAACCCACTAAGGAACCCAGAAACGGGCTCCGAAGTGAAGAGGGGGAAGTGGCGCTGTGCTGTGAGTCGACTGCTTTTTCTGCGGAGTGAAGCCACACAGCCGTTGCTGGAGAGCGCTGCCTTTTTCCTGGGACAATTTGGCTTTGAAAATAACTAACTGTGAGTACTGGAACGTTACATAATTGGATTTTAATCAAGCATTGGCGAAATAAAAGGAACATGGACTCTAAAAATTTACCCTAATTTGGTACTGATACGGAAAGGGTTAAACAGGAAGTCACCTTTCCGTTTTCTTGTAGTTACAGCAAAGCAAAGTCAATGTAAACTGGAGCCTTAAAAATCACTTTTAAAGGATCGTCTTTCACCATTTAAAATTGCGGAACCCCCCTTCGGAAGCAGGAGAAGAAGGGGGATTTTTATTGAGTTGTTTAAACCTGTGGAAATAAAGTTAAAGTAAAGTAACTTTCCACTGTCCTGACCCTGGAGCGGGGTGTCAAATTTGACGTTTGAAGCTCATTGACCAGAAATAAATGCTTTGACAGATAGTCAAAAGGAGGGAAACATTGTGATTCCACTGTTTCCTTTCACTCTTTTATGGACAAAATATCTTAAAGAAGAAACTCTGTTGCTATTGTTTCCAATTACAGATAGGTAGCCGTGTTGGTCTGACATAGTCAAAACAAAAAAATTCCTTCCAGTAGCACCTTAAAGACCAACTAAGTTAGTTAACTAAGAACTAACTTAGTTGGTCTTTAAGGTGCTACTGGAAGGAATTTTTTTTGTTTTGACTATTGTTTCCAAGGAAAAGAACAATCAGAAGTTTCTCCCCCTAGAGGGGAACTATGAAACTGTAACTAATTCCTGGGAACTTGTGGCTGTTTACTGTACAACTGTGGGAAAAGAATTTTTGTGACCTTGCTGGACAATGCCTTCAGAAGCACTGTTGGGTGCTTTCTGTAATATAAGTGCCCTATTGGATCAGCTAAGTCAGAAGATGGATTTTATGACAAAAGCTCCCAGTGCCTTTGATCAAGTAGTGAAAAATTACATGGAGCCCACTGAGGAACTAAAACAGGAGTGTGCCACGACAGAACAACAGAAAGAAGAGGATTCTGCTGAATCTGGGACGCCAAGGATGGAGGGACTCTCGGCCCAGCAGGAAAGTGAGCTTTTGGATTTGGCAAATGAACTTGGAAAAAACCAGACTTGGAAAGATAAAGTTTGGACTGAACTGGAAATGGGGGGTTGGGCTGACCACCCTATGCAGGGATGTTTGGACTTTCCAAGTCTGGAAATGGAAATGGGTCGCCAGAGGTTTGGAGCTGTTGGGACTTCCAATTTTGGAGGGAATCTGAAATATGCTTTAAAACACCATATGGAGCTTAGTCTGGACCAGGGGTCTGCAACTCCGGGCAACTTTTACACCTTTGCCGCGGCTCCGGGGCGGATACTAGCGAGGGGAGGAGGCGCATTGTGCGCCCCGACACTCGCCACTGTGGCGGGCGCTGTACTGGCTGTGACGTCGCATGGGGGCGGTGCGTGCGTTAGTCACGCACCGTCCCGACGTCACCTTCCCGCCCGCTGTCAGATCGCGGCTCCGGAGATATATTTGTTTTAAATGTCGCAATGGTTTTGCGGCTCCCAGTTTTTTTCCCCTTCAGAAACGGGTCCAAGTGGCTCTTTTTGTCTTAAAGGTTGCAGACCCCTGGTCTGGACTATGAGAAAGGGGCTGATTTGTTGAAAAGGGTCAAAAACACTACAAAGCTGGAGTTCCCGCGAGTGAAAGGAAAATATGAAGAAGAGTTGCGAAAGGGACATGGAAGAGATTTGAAGGCCTCGGATATTAGGGCACCAGGTTAATGTGCCAGACTAATGGGGAAAAGAAAAGACTGACAACCCCGGGACCGGGGGGAGGGGACGCTGGAAGAAGATTGGATTATTTTTTATTTTATTGTATTTTTTTCTGTATTATTATTATTAGAAATGTTTGATGAATGTTGGGAAAATGTTGAAATGAAATTATTTGGCTCTTGTTAAAATGTTTAAAGAATTTGGTAAAAAAGGTAATGGTTATGAGAAGTTGGTAAAAAGATTTAAGTTTTAAGCTCTAAGGTTGTTTTTATATGACAAAATGAGAATAGAGTAAGGTAACGTAATGATTAAATATTATGAATTATGGATTTAAGTCTTAAACATTAAGGTTTTTTTATAAGATAGGATGATAATAGAGTAAGGTAAAGTAATGACAGAATATTATGAACTTTGAAAAGGATTTGCTGTGTCAATTACTAATCAAGATACAAGAGATGGGAGGAGGAGGAGGAGGTCATGGAAAGAAGGTAATGGAAACTGGAGAATTTGAAAAAGATGGCTTTATTTTTGTTGTTTTTTTTCCTGATGTTTTTGTCTTTTTTTCTTTTTTGTAATTTTGTCTTTTTTGTGTGTGTGTGTGTATTTTTTTTTAAAAAAAATTCTTTTGTCTCAATAAATATTATTATAAAAACAAAACAAAACTGTTCAGTCTTGGATTCTTAGACATCTTCCTAATTTCTTTCCAGAGACCGCCAAAGCACACGAGAACAGAAACCTCAATGAAGATCTAAGGATTGTTCTTGTTGGGAAGACGGGAGGAGGAAGAAGTGCCACAGGAAACACCATTTTGGGCGAAAAGAAGTTCGAGTCCAAAGCTTCACTGAAGGCAGTGACCCAGACTTGCAAGAGAGAAGTCCGGGCAGAGAAGTGGGAAGGAAAGCAAGTTGTTGTCGTTGACACTCCGGCCATTTTTGACACCTGCCTTCCAGAGCAGCAGAATAATGCAGAGATCCAGAAGTGCGCCTCTCTGTGTGAGCCAGGTCCCCACGCCCTGGTGTTTGTGACGCAGGCTGGCCGTTTTGCCGAGGAAGACGCTGTGGCCGCCAAGAGGGTGGAGGAGGTCTTTGGCCCAGAGGCCACAAAGTGCATGATCGTCTTGTTCACCCGCAAAGAAGACCTAGAGACAGAAAGCCTAGAGGAGTACATAGAGCTATCTGGAAACCGACCTCTTCAGGATTTGGTGAGGAAGTGCCAGGGCCGTTGCTGCGCTTTCAACAACAGAGCAACAAGAGATGAGCAGGAGCTGCAAGTGAAGGAGCTGCTGGTGGAAATTAAGCAGATGATGATGGACAACCAGAACAAGCCTTTCCTTGAGCAGTTTCCAAGAGGACATACAAGAAGCGCAGCTGAAATGAATCCAGAGGAAGAAGCAATGGACACTGACAAGGGAGGACCAAGTATATTCCCTAAAGGTAGAGTCAAATTATGATTCGGAAGCAGTTATAGATCTCCCTGAGTTGAGATTCTCAAGGTAGCCCTTCCTTAAAGAGACCCACCAAATACCTGCTCTTCTTCTTTGTACAAGGAAGAGCCCAAAGGCAGAAGAATTCTGCACCCATAAGGGGGTGGCTCTGTAACTTGCAAACATTTTGCAAATTATGGAGATGGGTGCAAGAGTTAGCTTGCTTTGTGCAATCCACCGCATGAATACTGGTGAATTTGGAGGGGAGGGATTTGGGTGATGGTGGAGGGAGAAAGGCAATGTCTACTGTATTAAGAATTTGGGATAACCCTGGAGCTGAAGCCTGCCAAAGGCCTCTCAAGCACAGCATCCTGTTATATAGAACAGAGGAACCTGCCTTGTACTGAGCTCAGTACTGTCTACACTGATTGGCAGCAGCTCTTCAGAGTTTCAGGCAGGAGATTCTCCCAGCCCGGCCCTACAAATACTGCGTTCTCTTCCCTCCCTCCCTGTAGTGTTAACAAATTAACAAACCTCTCTTGCAAGACATTCTCACACTTTTCATCCCAAAGACAGGATGGAGCATAATATGGACTTGTGCAGTAGGAGAAATTCCTCCTTGTGATGCATTTTAAAATACAGTATGGACAAAATTTCAGTGACACTCTTAATAGTGTTAACATTCCTTATTCCTTCCCAACAGAGCCTGGGAACCAGAGTCGATACCACAAGGATTCCGAACTGCGGGTTGTTCTTGTCGGGAAGACGGGAGGAGGCAGAAGTGCCACAGGAAACTCCCTTCTGGGGAAGAAGACCTTTGAGTCCAAACTCTCCCCAAAGCCAGTGACCCAGACATGCAGCAGAGAAGTCCGGGCAGAGAAGTGGAAGGGGAAACAAGTCGTCATCATTGACACTCCGGCCATTTTTGATGCTCAAACACAGCATGATATTCTGGAAGTCCAGAGGTGCCTCTCTCTTTGTAAGCCAGGTCCCCACGCCCTGGTGTTTGTGACACAGGCTGGCCGTTTCGCCCAGGAAGACAATGTGGCCACCAAGAGGGTGGAAGAGGTCTTTGGCCCAGAGGCCACAAAGTACATGATTGTCTTGTTCACCCGCAAGGAAGACCTAGAGACAGAAAGGCTAGAGGAATACATAGAGCTATCTGGAAACCGACCTCTTCAGGATTTGGTGAGAAAATGCAAGGGCCGTTGCTGCGCTTTCAACAACAGAGGGACGGGAGAGGAAAGGGCCAGCCAGGCGGAAGAGCTGCTGTCTCTGATTGAGAAGGTGGTTCAGGAGAACGGGGACCAGCCGTATCTCAAGCCGCGTCCGATGGAGATGTCACTGAGGTCAGATGGAAGGAATCCTGGGGAGACTTCAAAGCAGACAGCAGCAGAGGAACCAGTGGAAGATGAAATGAATGCTGGAGGAATCCCCAAAGGGCAGCGGAAGAAGAAATCAAAGAAGGTAGGGTAGAAAGAATAAGAATGGGGCTGCTGTCTTTTCCAATTGCTGATGACTTACATTGTAGACAAATTCAAACTTGGAAAAGGAGGGTGGAACAGGGTTGTTTTCGGTTGCTCCAGAGGGTAAGAGCTGAACAAGCAGCTCAAAAGTAAAATGAAAAATGATTTAGACCAAACATTAGGAAGAACTTCATGTTCCTGGGAAAGAATTTATTAATTTAATGCATTTATATCCCACCTTTTCCTCCAAGGAGTTCAAAGTGGCACACGTGATTCTCCCCCCACCTCATTTAATTCCCCCCCTAATGCTATTTCTTTAGAGGTTTTTAATCAGAGTTGGGGGGGGGGTCCCTATTGAGAGGTTGCAGAAGTGTTGGGCAAGATGACGTTTGAGGTTCCTTCTATGAGCTTAAGGGAGGGGGGTAAATTCTTGCTTATTTGAGAACTCCCCCCCTCCTTCTCCCCCTTGACATCTTTTCCCCTTTCTCTTGACTCCACACCAATCACTTACGGTTTGTTTCCAACAGGCATTTACGGTTTCCCTTTGTTCGTACCTTGTCCCAGAATCCGGCGAAGCTTCCAAAGAAGGCAAAAGAGGAGCAGGAAAATATTGTCCTCCAATGTAAACGGAAGCAGCCTCATCAATAAACACAGCAGGATAATTTGCGTTCTCCCATCATTATTGCACGTCCTCTGCGTGGCACTATTTCACGACCTTCTTCCCCCTTGGCTTCTCAACCTCCTTAAGCCTAAAGTGGGTTTAACATTTTGGATCCAGGGAATTCTGTGGCTTATCCACACTTCCTCTTGTTTTGCTCCCTCTCCACAGGAAACCATCCGCTTCTAAAACTTGCCCTTTGAAAACAAAACAAATTCTTACAATGTTTTATTTATTGTAAAAAGGAAGGTGTGCTATTTTGCAACCACTTGGAAATTACCCCAGGGGCTGATGGGTGAACTGGGGTTTACTGGTATTTTGAAATATATGCTGGGAGCGTTTCATGTCATATTTGGTGGTAACCGCAGTGACAGAAGATGGTTTTGCTACAGACTGTTTGTACTAAATTTGAATATTTTCCATTCATCAAGCTCCATGAATTCTCTAGTTGCTCAGATATTAGAATGCGATTCTAAGTTTGGTTCCCTTCACATGCATCTCAGCAGTGCCAGAAACTCCTCCCTGGTAGAAGCAGAGAGGCAAAGAACTGTCCATCCATAATGACCCCAAGGTCGCTTCCAGCAGTGTTAAAAACTGAGAAATGAAAGCTAGGAACTCAATGGCACCTTAAACCGAGGTTATGGGAGCAACAACGGAATGTCTAGGTGCGCTTTTTTAATAACAAGAATACAAAGCTGAAAAGGAATAGGCTGCGGCTAAAATATTATCTTCATTATTCACATGGTCTAGTCCTTCCCCTGCCCACCCCCCTAATATTCGTAAGAGGGTCTCTTCTTCAGAGAGTAGCTGGAAGTCGGGAGGCAGAAAAAGGTCCTCCCTTCCGTCTGCTCTGCAGTTTTAATCTGAAATCAGTACTGCGCCCAGAGCTCAGAAACTGCTCTCCAAGGTCCAAGCATTCCGTCTGACCTGCTTGCAGGAAAGTGCGAGTTATGTGACAACAGGGCGTCAGAGACAAGCCCAAACTCCTCCACACGCAGGAGCATTTCTCCTCCAGAAGTCTGATCTTTCAGTAAGACACCCATGCTCACTTTGAGGGGGGGGGCTGGGAAAATGGCCCCTTTCCATGCATGAACTGCCCACCCACAATGCATTTTGCATGTGCCAGAACAGATTTAGATTTGATGAGACCCTCAGCTACTGAAGGTAATGGGGCCCTTTCTATGTCCAGCTGTCCTTTGTAAACAACAAATGGTCACTGTTTTTTGTGTTGAATCTATGCTATATGGTAATTTACGGACCTCATAGGTATCTGAAGCCATTTGCACATCACAAAATACGTGGGGGGTTTTCAAAGTAATTGTTGAACTGAAATACAATTAAGAAGTATATTAACAGTGAAGTACAATTAAGAAGTATATTAACAGTGAAATAATTATTAAGCTCTAACTTAAAATGATTTTTCATAACAAAATAATGCAAACATATTGGTATTTGGGAATAACAAAAGTTCATTGAGAAAAACAATTTACAAAGACTCATAATCTAGTTTCTAGAAACTTGCTATAACATGAAATAATAGGTGTAAATAAATGTATGATGCAAACTATTAATAATTATAAATAGCAGAATGTAGGCACCCTATATATCGAAAGGAGCAAACCAGTGATATTTGAGGCAGCAGGAGAGGAGGCGAGGCCCAGGACTTACATCATAGGAGCCGACATAACACACAAACACTGTTGCTGGATGTAGGTTTTATTTTATTTGTATGTTATCTTACAGTTTGGAAATGTACATCTAGGTTTTTTTCTTTAATTTTTTTTGGGCCCCCTAGCGAGTGGGGCCCTAAGCTATAGCTTGTTTAGCTCATACATAAATTCGGCACTGCCCCCCCAACCTCGGAGCACCCACTGCTTTCATAGTTGGCATACGGGGAGGGGATTGGGGTCTTTCCCTGTTTCAGAGCCAAGAAGCTCCGCACATCCCTGTGACTTGAATTTTAAGGCACTTTTGGGTTTCTCATTCCTGATATAAGAGCAGGCGGGAGTGAAGTCTGCCAAGTCCTTTTTTCTAGATCGTCTGCTTTAGTGAGCCACTTCTGCTAAGTAACGATGCTGAACCTTCAACTTCACCATCAATTTAGACTCTCCCTCCCTCAGGAACCATCTCTTTTCTGTTATCAAATAGCCTTTCACAGAAACACCCTTATTTTGACAGCAAAACCTCATTTTGACAGCAGGTGGCGGTATGGTCTAAACCACTGAGCCTCTTGGGCTTGCTGATCAGAAGGTCAGCGGTTTGAATCCCCGTGACAGGGTGAGCTCCAGTTGCTCTGTCCCTGCTCCTGCCAACCTAGCAGTTCAAAAGCACACCAGTGCAAGTAGCTAAGTAGCTACTGCTGTGGCAGGAAGGTAAACGGCGTTTCCATGTGCTCTGGCTTCCGCCAGGGTGTCCCGTTGCACCAGAAGCAATTTAGTCCTGCTGGCCTCATGGCCCAGAAAGCTGTCTGTGGACAAACACCGGCTCCCTCGGCCTGAAAGCCATATGAGTGCCACACCCCATAGGCACCTTTGTCTGGACATAACTATCAGGGGTCCTTTACCTTTTACTCAGGTGGCCCTGTGAGATCTCGCGTGAGCATCCCTGAGCAGGCCTTGCCTCCCCAGCAAGGCAGAGAGCCTAAAAGCTCGTGATGTGCCGGGTGACTCCAAGAGGACCTGGCGCAAAAAGAGCTTTTACATTCTCCAAGTTGCTTGTCTTTAGCTTGCGCACTCTCAGCCAGCCTGTTTCAGAGCTGCTTCAGCTACAGGTGAGCACAGAGACTCGGAGACGAGCAGTAAAGCTGATTCTTTATTCAAGGAAGCAGAACACAAACAGAGGAACATCCAGGCAAGACTCGCCCTGGTCAAGCAGTTGCCAGAAGTGATGCTCTGTGAATCCCAATTCACCATGACCCAGTGAAGCATAGGGCTGATCCCTGAGACCTCTGAGCCAAAAGGGGCGCCTTGTTGAGAGATACTCAAATAACTGAAAATCTGGACTTTAAGTGCTATTCTGAGCCAATGTATCCTTATGGCGAAAGGGTGGGCAATCCCGCATGAGTGAGTATTATACTGTGAACACTCGGGTTGCGAACGTGATCCGTGCAGGATGCACGTTCGCAACCCGCAGCATTTGCAACCTGTGTCTGCGCACGTGCGGGTTGCGATTCGGTGCTTCTGCGCAAAGCACGATTTAGCGCTTCTGCACATGCGCGACCACCAAAACCTGGAAGTAACCCATTCCAGTACTTTCAGCGGTCCGTAACCTGAAAAAACGCAACCTGAAGCGTCTGTAACCCAAGGTATGACTGTAACGCCTTTATCATAGAATCACGGAATTGTAGAGTTGGAAGGTCACTTTCTATATCTGTTTATCGGCAACAAAAGGGCTAAATATTCCTGTGCCGTGTATTGTTTGCAAGGCACCTTCTGAAGCATCGTCTGGTGGCATTCAGAGAGTATATGAGCCCCAAAAGGGTCTTTGCATGCACAAGTGTTCTAGGGAGTCTCTACCCACCATCCTATGTGGCTCACACCATGACCCTGTTCCCATTTCCCCCATGAATATGTGAATGGCCAGTTATGCAGTCATTTGGTCCAGGTTTCCCAATCATTCTCCGAAAGCGTAGCTATGCTAGTGATATTGAGGCACTGTCTGTTGCTGTTCTCTCCCTGTTCCCCTTAGCTCAAATGCAGCAGGCTGGCTCCTGTGGGATATAACATCACAGAAAGCAGTCAAGTACAACATTTCCTGTTTGCCCAGAGTGGAGACGCAGGGGAATGTTGCTCCAGCCAGGAGGACTTCCTGTCACACCTGGTGGGCGTGACCCTGGCAGACCCCATAAAGGGGCTCGTCACGCAGCCATCTTCCTCTCACTCCTCTTTTGACTTTTTTGATGCCTTTTACTGTCTGCTGGCTCTCAGCCAGCAGCACATGGGCTCATCCCTCACAGAGGATGAATCCACACTTTTCTCTGTAACTGTAACTACAAGAGAAAGCCTGCCTTCAGGACTATACTGTGAACTGAATGTATGTAAGTAAACCTTATCATTACTTTGAAAAGAAGACTGTTGTGTCATTACTGTTTTTAAGAGGGAACTAAAGGGAATTTACCAGGAACAATCCAATCTGGAGAAGCCAGGATTGCATTTGCTTAACTCAAATGGTTCTGACGAATCCATCAACCAGCTTCCAGCAATGTGCAAGGGAGTGTGCTCTGCTACTAGCTCACTAGTGTGAGTGAGGAAGGATAATATTTAATCAATATATCCTCTCCTACTACCCACATTCCCACAGCCCCTTCCTCTTCTCCCTCCTTGTCCCTTCCCCGGCTCAGAGCCCTTGCAATGCAGCCTCCCTTAGGGCTCTCAAGTGGCCTGCAGATGGCAGTGTGTCCCTTCCAGTGTGGGAGAAGCGCCTCCTGCAACAGCCATGCCACCTTCGAGTGCCAGAGTGCCAGGCTGGTCTTGGAGATCTTCGTTTGTTTGTGAGGCAGGAGGGATGCTAGAACGGTTTCTTCAGGGAGTGAAGATGCTACACAGAAGTGGCTTGTGGGAAGGTGGGGAGCGCATGGAAGCAGCTGGCGCCAACAGGGGCAAACGTGCCTGAATGGTGAACTGCTGGTGCAAAAAGGAGGCACTAGCTCAGGATCACACCCTATATTAAAAGCACATATCCCCCCACAGAATCCTGGGGAGTGCAGTTTATTTAGGATGCTGGGAATGGCAGCTCTGTCTGTGATAGGAAAGCTATAGTTACCAGGATTCTCTTACGGTAGACATACGCTTTAAAACTGTGTGGGGTGTTGCAGGTAGTTTGTTGCTTTCTCCCACAAGAGAGTGCCAAATCCATTTTTATTGTGCAGCTTGAATTTGCTGGCCTACAATTAGATCACCCCTGCAAAATAGTCACATTCTGGGAGGGGCCCACAGCCAAGCTCTAAAGGCCTTGGGACTTGGGGTGTCTGCACACAGCAAAGCACCCCAAGGTGCCCTTCAGCTT